TGATCTTCATAGGAAGAGTAGTTTCTCATTAAATCTGTATCTTCATTTCGCCAGTGGGTGAAAAGCATAATTAATTCACGATAATGTTTCTCTGGGTGAGCTTCTTTGTTAAACCATGCACTTCTGATGATTCGAGCTGTTTGTCTTTTCTTAGGTTTATTGCTGCCTTTCAATACTTCTATGTTAATATCATCACATAACTCATCATCATTATTCTCATCATCTAATGTTTCTTCTGGTAGACAATCAATATCAAGTTTAGATGATTTTTTTGGTTTATATGGTTTTGAGCCACAAGAATCATACCAAGCTGCCCAGTCAGCTAGAGTAACATTTTCAACTGAGTGTGGTCGTTCAACATATCGTTTTAAAAGACCCCCTGCATGAATTTCTTCTGAGTCATCCTCCATATGCTCAATTTCACTCAATGGTTTCAACAGGTGAACTCTTTCTTCTGGAGGTGAAGTGGGAATAAAATCACACTACGAGAAGCTTTTCTCATTGGTAATTGTAAGGTGACATAAACTGCTTCTTGAGCACTGATCTCAACACTGTTAAGGAATTTGTTACCAATGTCTCGTACTTGTTGCTTTATACTAGCATTGCCTTCTCTTGCTTCTTCACATGCTTTGCGCAATAACTCACTCATACCTTTCTGTGCTTTAGAAATGTAGGACACAATATACATGGCACAAGCATATACATCAAGGACAAACTGGATGTCCATATTGGCTCTCCATGCTTTAAGGCATGCTGGGTTGTAATTATTAACCCTTAGTTCATTTGGTTCTCTTTTTAAAAATATTGTGGGACAATTCAGCGATGAACGTAAAGCCAAAAGGTAATTTTCTTCTGTGATACTCAATTCTTGGAGAAACTCCAAATGTCACATCTTGTCCATCTTTCAAATCATTGAGTTTTGTCGTAATATCCTTCCATTGTTGCTTAAGAGATTTTTTGTGATTTTCAGAAAATGTGTCTTCAAGTGGGTGTAATATTGAAGTTGACCTCATAGGTGGCTGAGGATAATTAAATCTACAAACATTTTTGTTATTCTTCTTACATGTATGGGAGTGTCTATGCATCTGTCGATTAACTAAATCAAGCAGTCCTGGGTCATAATCAGGTTTCCGGCATGTGATAATTTGGTCGATAAATGCAGCTACATCCTTATCCTCACTGACTCCAAACACTGGTGCATTTTCAAGCCATATCAACATATGTATATGAGGTGACCCCCGTTGTTGATATTCAACTCTATAAAACCAATCTTTGATTTTTCCTAAAGGTGCAGTGCTGCTAATCAGAAATTGTCTTAAGAATGTATTAAATTGGAAGTCAAAGTGTCTAGCACATGTTACAGGGTCACTTTGAATTAACCTGCATTTATCATTCCACTCTAAATTGTCAAGTTCATCATCACTGTAGTTTTTGTGGTCAACCAGTTTGCCAAGTATTCTTAATAAATGGTTCCACTTAGTTTCAGCAGACGAGAAGCTACAAAACAATGTTGCGGGACCCAGTTGGCGAATCATTGCAAATAAATCTTTTTTTGCTTTTTCAAAATAGGGTGGTGAACCTCGTAATCCTCTCAAAAATTTGTAACCTTCATCATGGTGGATAAGGTTCTCTAGGCTTCCTCTTTGCTTCAATTGACCTGCTGTTATGGCTTGATTGCCAGATTTACATTTTCTCAATGCAATTTGGGATTTTCCTAACAGAATTTTCATTTGGAGCTTTTTGGTTTTAAAGAATATATTTTCTACACACATAGCAGCCCTGCGGTCTGACCGTCTTAATTCAGATTTACATATTTCACTGTAATATGCACTGACTAATCTGTCTTTATCGCTTGGTCGTTTTTGGCCTAGGAAAATACCAGGATATGCCAGTTCTTCACAATATTGGTCTCTAAATATGCTCATTGGTCTGTTGCCTTCCCCAGGTGCAATACTATAAACCTTCCCTTTCATGGTCACTAAGAAAATCTGTGGCAGTAAGCATACTATCAGTTACTCCAGCAGGTATTTCTGCTTCTCCCTCAGTTATCATTGTTTGTTTTATTAGTGTCACTATCTTGTGTATTGTGGCTGCCATCACTTGGACAAGTATTTTGTAGACTATCTGCATAGTGCTTTGCCCAATTAGAATCTAAAGTTATGCCTTGTTCCTTATACAGGGTGCTGTTGTTTGCAAGCCACGCAGCTGCCTGTAAAACTTTTTGCGGTCTCACATTTAAAGATAATGCTGAACTTTTGTATTGTAAACGCCTTTTCAAATTAATTTTAATTGTACCTGTGTCATGAGGTAACCTAGGCAACATATTGACAGTATTTGTCACATCAGCTGGCACATTCACCACATTACCATTAATCTTGAATTGTTTACCTCTTGGTGCTTGCATAATTTTTTGAAATGCCAACCTTGGAGCCACAAGTCTACATTCTAATTCATTTAGATCAAAAAACTCAGGTATGGCAGGAAATTTCATCCCATTTGACACTGCGCATGGAGGTACTTTATTTCTACGTAGATAGTCATTACATGATCTACAAATCCATTCTTCACCATTAACACTTAACTTTCCTTGTAAATGATTAGACATGTTGATATTGTTCAGTCGCAGGTTATTTGCACGTTGAACACTGTGCTTGTACCATGATTGATCACAACATGTACAAATATATAATGGCCCTTCTGACACAGTTTTGTGGAATTGTGTTATCAAATCACTAATGTCAACATGATGACATTTTTTATTATTTCGCCTATTTTTCTGCTTCTGTTTCCTTCGTTGTTCTCTCTGTGCTGCAAGCCTAGTCTCTCTTTGTTCAACAGTTTCATTGTTCTTTTTACATTTTTGATACTGTCTTCTTGCTCCAAGCCTGTTCTCTCTTTCTTCTACAGTTTCATTCTTCTGTTTATATTCCCTGTACATTTTTTTTGCCGCTAATCTTTTCTCTCTCTGTTCATTTGTTTCATTTTCTCTTTTACGTTTATTATATGCCCTTTGGCTTGATAACCTTTTTTCTCTTGCCTCACTACTTTCACCTACTTGTTTATGTTTAGCATACTTTTGTTTTTTTGACATTTCATCATTTGTTGCAGGGTTGTTTAACCCGGGGTTTCCCCTTCTTACATGTTCACTATGAAGTGAGCACATTGAAGTAAACTGAACACCTTTGACCTCAAATGGTGTAACACCTCCAGGTGAAAGAGTCTGAAAATATACAACTAGATCTTGAATATTGTTAATTGTGATTAAAATACATTTTCCAAATTCATTAGGAACACCAAACAAATTTCTAGCATGAGAATCAAAGATTCTAAAAGACCCATCTGCAACTTTCAATATTGCCACAGTATTGCAACCAATAGTAAGCAGGGCAAAACTGTATGTTAGCTCAGAAAATAGGAATATGTTATTTAATGCACTTAGAAGTGTGAAATATGGTCGACTATTGCATGCCATGAATACATCACCAGCATATGACTCACTGTATTGTAAATTATAGATTATGTCATTAACAGAAACCATTTCAGGCACATCAGTCAATAGCAACAAGTCTTTATTCACTGAATTGGATATACATGTATAAAGGTCATTGCCATTAATTAAAATTGTGTTTAATAATTCTGTATCCCAGGTTGTAACATCTTGTATTTGGCTGAAGATTATTGCAGTCAAGGACATAGCAACACATTGCTTTCCTGCATTTTGTCCAAATCTGACTTCACAACCTTGGCTAAAATCAGCACACACAGTTTTTGTTGCATCAACAATGTCATATACTGTAGGTCCTGGGTTTGTTTCCACATCATTTGACAATCTTAGTAAACCAGGCACATACACTTGGTGATAACAGACCATTTTGATAAACCAAATTACTGGTTCATTTGATCTACTGTATTGTTCATTTATTTGCTTTAATGTTGGGAAGTAAAATACATTTAAATAAAACATCATCAACATTGTGTTCCAGAAAGTACCTGTCAGACGTCTGGACACTTCTCTTTGTCTCACAAAGTTTGCATGAGAACCAACTCTTGCTCGATATTGTTCAATTGACACTCCCATGTCTAGTATGATGTCACGTGACTGTCAGTAGTTTTGTGCAGACTGTCTTTTGTTTGATTTGTTATCCAGTTTCAGATGAATATTTTTGTATACTTTTTGGCAATTTTGTAGCAAGTTTTTAGCAAGTTTTTAGCAAGTTTTTAGCAAGTTTTTAGCAATTTTTTTGCGGACACAAGGTCCCAGTTTATGGCTTTTTCGATTGCGATACAACACGCAATTGCCTGACAAACGAGTCAGTGCAGACACAAGGCCCCGTTTAGTTTATAGATTTTTCGATTGCGATACAACACGCAATTGCCTGACAAACGAGTCAGTGCAGACACAAGGCCCCAGTGAGTTTGTTGCTGCGATGACTCGACGAGAATCGCACTAAAAGACAAAACAAAAAGCGTGCTTAACAAACTGCATGTCACCTCGTCGACTTTGAGACAAGCCTCGGCCCTCAAGGTCAACACATTTATAGATAAATACAGCTAAGCCTAAGGTGAAACTGGTTAGCGTACCTTGAATGAGATGAAGTAGGGCGACGTTTACCAGCAAAAAACGGCCAAATCAAATCGAATTTTGCGAACTTGTCTTTGGCAGTTTGCTCAGAACTTGTCGACAAAATTAGCAGATCAGATCGTACCGGAAATTGCGGTCATCACGTGAGCATATGACGTTTTTAGGGCGCCTGCGGTTCCCCCATCCGTTTCGCGCATGCTCAGATATTTTGCATTTATAATTTGCCATAAACCCCGTCTAGCCTCTGCGTGATGACTAAGCGTTCCGCAGTCCTTATGGACAGCGGACGCAAAAAGACCATGGCATTTTAAGACTCCGCTGCGCATACGCAGGCGGAGTAATGAGGCGTTTTGGTAGTCTGCTCATAGTTTGACCACAGTGCTTCACGGCCTTCACCCCAAACAGTGGACTTTCCCCCCCGCACATAGATCCCCATATTTCAATATTATAATAAAACGATACGCGAAATTATGACCTATAAATTTGGTCGCTTGGCAAAGGTAGGTACTTGATGATGCATGTATATATATATATACAAAGAACAACTAATAAGATAGGTATTCTTTATAATTTCGAATTGCTAGTGGAACTATAAACACTCTGAGATTTGAACGTTTTGATCTACGATATGATTTTCAAACAAGTCATGATGGAACATGTTGTGTTGTCGATTACGTCATCTCTCCCAAATCTTATAGCGACTTTATATCGTTTCTGTATTCGTTTACGCAACAATATTTACAAGTTATTATGCTTAGATTTGGCGTAGTTCTTTAAAGAATATTTCAAGTGTAATCCTTCAGACCTATTTCCATTAAGATACAAGTATAATAAGACGTTACAGAAATGCACTCCCAAAACTCAAATGCTTCTCTTTTCAGATTTCATATGGCTGAAAAACCATCAAGTCCCGTCTCAGATCTCGCCGAGTTGGTGACATGTTCAATATGTCTGGGACCTTTTCGGGATGCAAGAGCACTGCCTTGTGTCCATTCCTACTGCAAGGAATGTTTACAAGGTTTGGTGACACCTCAAGCAAAGCTGACATGCCCACATTGCAGGGAAGACTTTGAGGTATGGCTGTTACCACAAATCAGGGGCCGGTTGTATAAAACAAATTAACTACACTTTGCATAGTTAAAACCTAGTTAAAACACAGAAATACCCAACTCTGATTGGCCTATTCTGTCCTGGCCTATTCTGGCCTCAGTTCTGAAATTGCAATTGTGCACATAGCCTTCAGTGCAAGGTTGCTACAATTGTTGGTGGATCGGCATACCAATAGTTTATATAGCATGCTGCAGTAGACAGACACTCAGATTAACTTTAGTGGTATGAGTATTAAAGCTACTAATATATCATATTATCCATTCCAGGTTCCAGATGGTGATGTCTCCAACTTGAATCGAAACTTTCAGCTAAACGAAATAGTTGATGTGTTTAACTCCATGACCTGTGCTGTTCCAAATGATGAAGGTCTGTCTGAGAATTCTCCAACGGATGCAACCCAAGCTTGTTTAGCTAATCAAACTACTTGCAAGGATCATACAGGAAAAGAATGTGAACTGTTCTGTCAAAATTGCTTTAAATTGATATGTTTTGAGTGCATTTCAAAGTGGGGTACTTGCACCCAGCATTTATATGAAAGTATTGACGTGGTCGCAAAAGAGTTCAGAGAAAACATCAAAGAATTTGTGCGGAAAAAGGAAGAACAGTTGCCCTCTGTCATAAAACATGGTGTCGTTCTTGAAGATATGAGAGAGAAACAATCCCTTAACAGTGCAAGTGTCACAAATGAAATATTGGAAACTTTTGGAAAGCAAATTGAAAATCTCGAAAAGAGACGAGATGCATTAACCAACCAAGTAGTTGATATGCAGTTGAAAAATGATGATTGTGTGGCTTCGGAGGTAGATCGTGTCCGTATAGAACAAGCCAAAATTGAAAACACAATTGAATTTTGTAACAAAATTATTGACGTCAATGACTCTGCACTATTTTTACAAAAATACATACAAGTTAAGGTAAGGATATAGTAAGGCCTCCTTCCTTGTAATCTTTGCTGCACCTATGTGCAAGTTTTTTCTTTTGGTAGCAGTGAACAAGTTGATAAGTTACGAATGTTCACATAAGGGCACATATAGATCTCAGCATTCATAGCTTATCACTCATATTTGCTCATACTAAAAGACCTAATATCACTCTGGAAATTGCTGAAAAATTTGGAAGTGGAAGCAGATATTTGATAATGGCTTCGTGAAAAAGTATATTGATATTTTTTCAGTCCACCAGTTGTATAACACCACACAATCCATTCCCATAAAACTTCAAAAACATATTTTAAACAAGCTTTTCATCTCTAGGCCTAAAAAACTAAAGCTTGTGACTAATGATGGCAAATATTTATTTCATTTGCAACAGATGTTTCTAACTGAACCTCAGGAGTTGGTGTCACATGTTGATGTCCGTGCTTTACTATTTCAAGCAACGGACTCGCTAATGAATGATGTCATTTCAAATTTCGGAAATGTTGTGTTGTGTGATGAAAGCTCTGCTGCAGAAGAGGAAAAGCTGGTCAGAGAAGAGAGGCCAACATCAAAACATGCAGGACATGCAACGTCAACATCTCCTATTCCAGCAAATGAGCCAGGCCCATCAAATAAATTACATCGTAATTACAGTACTGCCTCTCCAAGGCCTGTTGTACCAAATGCACCTGGTGAACAAGTTGGCATTGAGAAGCCAGTCGTTGCAAAGCTTTACATCAAAAACTTGGCTAGAATGAACAATCCCTTTGTTACATTTGAGGACAATGGATTTGGTGTGAAAACAAAAAGCTCAAAAAACGAAGCCATTATTGGAAATCCAGGCTTCAGAATGGGAAAACATTCATGGAAAATTAAAGTGGTTGGTTGTCCTGATGGTTTAAGCATTGGTATATGCGTTGGCTTCAAAGGTCGTGGTAAGGTTGTTACGTATGATTCAGCATTAACCAGTACTAGTACAGAAACAAATGTACTGGTGGAGTTGGACTGCAGTGCCAGAAAGTTGTCTGTTTCACCAGATGGCTACCAACCTGATACAATAGGATTTGACAATCCTCACAACTATGAAGTTCATCCATACTTCCTTCTGCCCCCATCAAACATAGTTAGTTGTAGTAAAATCACTATTGTGAGCATTGATGGACACTTGACAGAATGTGTAGAGTCATGTTGTATATTGTAAATGAATGCAACATGAATTTATAGGTATGTGCACCATTTTATTTAAAGCAGATTAGAGATACTTAACCAATAGTCTGTGAAAACAATGGAGTTAACATGTAGATATCTCTTTAATGTAAATTGTTTGATTTGTATTCCTTATAATGACCTAGCTATATATGTATAGACTCATGTTTGACTTGTTTTTGGAGAAATTGATAATAAATTGATTTTGCAATGTCTCGTAACCCTAACTAGCTATAAGCTGTAGTATTATCCCTCGGATGTTATGCTGTATATACTGTAAACCAACCTATTTTAAGGTAATAGCAATCAGCTTGCTTCCTTTGATCACCAGAGATATGGTAGCAATTTCCACATAATGTTCACTGCTTAACTTTTCACAGTGATGACAATTCCCTCATGACCATTTCCCAATACCTTGCCTGAAGATTGGAAAACAACAACAGATTGGTAATGGCTAGGACAATAAATCGTTAATGTTTAAACTAAGGAAAACTGCAATTTAACTGACTTTCAAAACTTCCAACTCTGAATTGACCCCATGTTGTTTTTGCTGAGTTTGCATGTCTTTTTCAAACAGCTCTATTTCCTAAAAAAATATACATTTGTTTAATTTTGACATCAACATTTAATTTTGAACATGTAATGCAAAATCCACAGGGGAACATACTTCTCTCAATTTATTGTTTCTTTTTCTTGCCATTTCCAAATCGTTTGAAAGTTTTTTAAGTTTATCTCCATGATTATAAAGCTGGATTTTGTTCTGACTCAATAATTCCTCTCGTTCTGCTAATCTGAACAAAAAACAGGTTTCATGATAAGTACCATGTCTTATTTTGTCAAAATTGGCTATTTATTGCACTATGCCTCATTAACAACTGATGGTTGTTAGAGCTTGCTGTGTATTCATTATCTATGTCCCACAATTATGCAACATTGCAAAAAGTATTGCAATAATCATGGATTCTGGAACCTACAAGTCGCAAGCTTGCAATTTCATGGCAAATTTGTTGATTTTAATATTTCCACAGATCATTTTCACTGCCAAAGAACTAATATAGTGAACTATTCTTGGCAGCAAAAATATAAAATGAAAATATCGAAATCAACGAGGTCCCTATGAGAATGACAACTTGTAACTTGCAACTTCCAGTAGAACTTGTTTAGGCAATTAACCAGCAAATAAATATATTGCAATATTCACAGCAACGTCGCAAAATTGCAGGGATCAGAGCACCCGATTTAGCTGTAACAATTAAATCCTCCAATGTCTTTAAAATATATTAAACAATATTTCCAAAACGAAAATTGAAACAATCCAGAGATTCTTTCTTATGAAAATTTTTTCCATAAAATATTGTGTTACAAAGTTGAAAAGCCTTCAAAATAGCTAGAAACGCGATGGAACATTTGCCATGAAATTCTGTGTTAAGAAAGTCCAAAAGGCCCTCAAAATAGCTCGCCCTATCACCCCTATAGATATGAATGGCTTCATTGATTTTTAATACGAGTTCTAGTAAATCTAGTAATCTACTATGAAATTTTACGATTTGATGTCCAAATCTTTATTGGAATAACGTAAATATAAAGCACTTGATTCAGTTCAACTTACATATCCTCGTGTCTTTGATTTAGTTCAATTTCTTTTCTAAGCCACTTCTTTTGAAACATTTCCATGGCAAAGACAATTTTTAAAAGTTTCTGTTTACATTCGGCGTCATAGCTTTTTGTCACGAGCTCTGCATACAAAGGTCATCCCCCCAAGGTCACCAACACTTCCACTTTCGATATAGAGAACTTTCATTTAAGAACTTTTTATAAAAAGGACGAATAGATCAACAGAATTGAGTGAAATAAGACTTAGCGGCATGATTGGTTCCATATTTAAATTACTGGTTTGAGCTATGGAAATCCAGGAAAGAAACCCTGTGATCTTTAAAGAATGATTTGAAAGTTTAGAAAGCAATTGACAAAAAAGTTTTAGATTTCAGAGTGGAAATACAACCGAGCATGATGGGAGACTAAGCTCCACTCCAAAATCCAATATGGCGACGGTAAGCACGTTTTGCGAATTTTGAACAATTTTGTACAAAATCATCCTAAAATCCGTGAAAATACGCGATTTCTTAGAAATTTTAACTGACTGGTTGAGTTGATAAATGTTATTTTTAAAATAGGGAGGTGATAAGAAGAAGAAAGAGAGTATTTTTGATTTATCAAAGTTTTTGGATAAACCAATTCGCGTAAAGTTCCAAGGGGGGCGAGAAGGTACGTTTTAAACGATGATAAAGTAGTCCTAACAGACTGTCTATTTATATTTGTAACGTTCAACATTCTGCAATTTTCACGCAGATAATTTTTGCTGATGTCAGCATAACTTTTAGAGGGTTGAAATAATGAAATTCTGATTCGAACGTGATAAACTTCTGAGACAAATAAAGAATTTCTAGGGGCTGTCTCAGCAAAAAAAGGCTGTCAAAAACACTGACCAATGTTTAAAATGACTTGACTGGCTTAAACCACTGAACATATTTTAAGAAGAAAAATGATGGCTGCTGTGCTGAGTTACAGCAACATAACTACGTAGACATTATTGCATCTTAATGTTCTTTATTTTCCTTTTATAGCCACTGGTGTGCTGAAGGGGTTCGACCCATTGCTTAACCTTGTGTTGGATGGAACAACAGAATATTTGCGAGGTGAAGATAAGAATACATGTCTGTACCTCACTGTCCTCACACAATGACACACATAGTGCAAAAACTTTAAGTCAGATATTCTTTTGCAGATCCTGATGATCCATTCAAGCTATCCGATGATACTCGACCGCTAGGACTTGTTGTCTGCAGAGGAACTTCGGTGGTGCTTGTTTGTCCAGTGGATGGAATGGAAGCAATTGCAAATCCATTTTTGCAACAAGAGTAGCACAAACAGATTGCAATGCAACAAGAGACACTCAAATATTTCTTAATCTTTTAACATTTGGTGTAAAAAGATCCAATGTTGTTGTGCATATGTAGACTATACTTCATCATAGACTGAAGTATTTGAAGGAACTGGATTTTTTCATCTAATCAGCGTTATAGCCATAGAATTTTTCTACTTTTTGTCGCGCAGGAAGTAGAAAAATTCAGCATGGTGGAAAATTCTCTTCATTTGCTGTTGTGTGCATACTACCAACTAACTGTTGTGTTAATCAAACTTATTGGTTGAGAAAAACATGATCATTGCAACTCTTCCTCAGTGAATATTACTACTGTATATGCAATAAAATAACACAGACATGTTATAAATCAATTATTGTAAATATATTTTGGCTAATAATTCAACATTCTCTAAAACCTCAATTCTTCAGTAGCAGAATTGCCTCAATTCAATGTGTTTGGTAGCATAAAATAAATGAGGAAGTTGCTACAGTATTTTAACCACCAGTTATTGTCATTTTAGTCAACAATTTATGAGTGACATCCTTGTATAGCAATTTAATAAAATTAAATTATTTTTACAAATTGTTGACAAGCTTGTCACAAACATTGCTTGTTGAAAAGAGGAATTATTTACATTTGTATGTGTACCTCAGAAAAATATAGACTAATACAGCATTAAAATTATTTGGTATATTACAAACTGGTGTGTACAAATTGATTATATTACCCTAAATTATCCCATTGTGTGCATCATCACCTAATCTTAAATTCCCCCGATTCCACAAGATCACTTCTTAAGCTTAATCTTTTAATTGTTTCGTATCCTAGTGTAATTAAAAAGCTTGACGGCATCATTGTTGTAATTCTTGCAGTAAGACCTTTGCTCAATCCCATGATGAAACCCTCTTCTCGAAGAAGATCTTTTAGTACAGCCACAACTGAGCTTCCTCCTCCAACCTAAACATACATTTAAAATTGAAAGAGTGCCAGATGTGGAATTATCAAAGAAAATGAACAGAAAAAGAATAGAATTTGTATGCCAGTAAGCAAACTTAAAATACTTTGACATTCTGTTCATCACCAGGCAAACTTTACTTTCAAATAGATGCATATTGTATGTTTTACTTGATATATCATTAGCAGTGAATAGGTTACAATGAATCATCACAAGTCTCTGTCAAAATTAGTTTTCTTATAATTTGATACTTTTTACAGCTTACCTGTAATCGAGTTCGTAACACATCTAATGGATTGACTGCTGTGGCAGCAGTTAGTCCAGCCAATGGTCCTGCGATTCCTTGCACCACAATAGGTGCTGTGCCATTTGGCACCAAGCTACCCACAATGCCAAGATATTGACCGTACGAGGCCCACCATACACCGCTAGTCGGAGCATAGGTCATCAACGATATTCCATATCCCCTATAGAACCCTCTTATACCTTGATTCTCCCAAATTTGCTTGACAACCATCCCAGCACCCTTTGGTTTGTAAGTACTTGAGCACTGTCCTTGCCCTTGTACCATAAGAAACTGTGAAATTATATCAACCGGGACCATAATGGTCTGACCGACAATGGATGCGCATGCTCCGGCGAAAAAGCCACGAAGGGCCAGATTATCGGTGTAATATGAAGTTTTTTGCCGCAATAACTCATAGGTTGTGATGTAGCATTGTCCGGAGAGCAAAGAAAAATTACTAACCAAATAGCCTTTATACAAACCGCGAATGCCTTCCTGTTTAACAATATTCCTAAAGGCATCGAAGGTTCCTTTGTACATGGAGCGCTTCCTCTGGACTTGTAGTCTTGTTTTAATCAAATTCGGTGGGTACAGCACAGCTCGTATGCCGAAAAACAAAGTCGGTCCAAAGACATAGAATTTCTTCTTGTCCAAATGTTGCCACTCGATAATCTTCACCGGTTCTGGCATTTCGATTTTACGGCGGTTTTAAATGTTCATAAATCTTCAAAACATCGTTATGTTGTAGGTTATGTCGATTTTTCGTGGTAAATAATTATTCATGCTAGCAAAATATATTATTTTTGCCTTCGGTATACATAAATAAAAACGAAATAAACAACCAGTCCGCTACGCTGGCATTTTTTCGTAAATATGAACATAAATAAGCATTTAGTAAGAGCAGGAGACTAAGGACGAAGCCAACCTTTGAACCTTACTTCCTCACGTGAGGAATTTTCCAAGAAAATTATGTGTGAAAATTAAAAGCATTTTCCACTAATCCACTAATCTCGTTTAGGCCAGAATTCTGTCATTCTAAACCTGTTCTAGACACAAACAATAAAGTAAACCCCCTCCCCCAAAGGTCACAGAAGGTTCTTTGTCGTATTAAAGCTTGTTTCTCTTCCCAAAGGAAATCTATTCCTGAGGAATTTGTGTTCGGATATTGCGGGAATTCAATAGGAATAAGGATGTTAACGCCACGTAAAGGATGGAATGTAGTAAAGTAAAAACAAAATGGCAGGTCGAGTAGTGAAGTTTCTGGTGAAATCAGCCGTTGCGGGAAGCTTAGTTTACGTAACAATACGAATAACACACGGTCCATGGAGACCACCTCATATGGCAAGATTTGCAGAGGAGAAAGATTTTATGACTGCATACATACCAAGCAATCAAGAGGTACAATATCAGATGCACAGGACTGGCCGACTATAAAGCATGTATACTAGTGTAAATACGGTTATTGCTGGGTACCTGAGTGTGTCTCCAAGTAAAGATCCAAGTGATACTTCCTTGAAAACTGCAATATTTCCCAAAATAAGGCCTGGACCAATTCCTTTAAAAAGTACAGCAATCCTTCCCATTACAGCAGGCTCAGGTTTCCAGCAGTCTTTGAATGAGAAGATAGTAACATTGCTACCAAACTGTATAGTTAAATGCCCTATATGCTACCCAGGGTTTGGTGGGTTTAGACCCCAGTTTCTTTTACTAATGTTTTCATTACTTCTGTTTAAGCAATCAAGGCCTGATGTTTTCAAAGAGACCTGGAATAAAGGGGTGAAAAAAATCTTTCATGGCTTACATGAAACACCAGGAGCTTTAAAAGAACTCTCAGATAAAACAATAAATCAACTGAAGGAAAAATACAAGAGTGCTAGTAAATGACAATCAACGGAATTGAAAACTGTGACTTGAATGATAAATGCCACAGAACAATGTTAACAAAGAACTTTTATATGACATAATTATGGTTTCATACCATTAAATGGAATGCTACTGACTTTTGCCTAGATTCCCAATGTCATTATATTTAAAAAAGAAGTATTACATACCTGTTGTATTACTATTGATTATATTATATATATTGTATAACTGCTTCCTGAAATTTCTTTATTTCATTTTTATCCATTGAAACTGGTTATAGGTGGAGACTTTGCGAATGTTGAAGGTTACCTTAACTGAGGTTGCATGCCCTAAAGAGACTTGTAAAATTCTAACTTTTGTCCCAAACCCAAATGAAAATGGTAGAAGGCCGTATCTGGTTGTAGTACCGGACTTTTTTCTCTTTCGGCTATACGAGATCTTACGCTTTAATCCAATCGTGCAACTGAGAATGGCGCGGATTTCGCCTTTGCAAAATAATGTTGCCATAAACATAGTTCATAGCTTTTGCAACTAACACACCTATGATGCGACGGATAATGTTGTAATGGGTCTTACATTACCTGTTGTAATTTTAAAGACTTAAAGGATTCGCCGTAATTGGTCTTAGAATCATTGAAAGTTCAATGCTCAGACAGCTCAACACGCTCACGCCACCCTAGATGGCGGACCACGTTTGTTCACTTTGTTGATTCTGGGATTATAATTCCGTGTTCAGTAAATCCAAAATACACGAATTTAGGAATTCCTAAGATTAGGGTTAGGATTAGGTTTATGATTGATAGTTTAAGTCTAATCCTAACCTAATCTCAAGGACTAAATTCGTGTATTTGGGATTTACTGAACATTGAATTATTATCACATTTGCGACCTTGCGTGTAGGTGGGCCCAATACACAAAAAGCAAAATATAATTTTCAAAAGTAAAAAAAATTCACAACTACAAGTGTCAGCGACTACCATGTTTCCTCAGTCCTTAAACTGTGGGCTAACTTTAGTGTGTCCGATGATAATATTCTTCGAAGGACGATACTTTAAAGGTATGTCCAACAAATCCCCGTCTTCACCGACAGCCCCTTCGGGTGTCACAGACCTCAGATACCTGCAATACTTCAAGTTTTCATCCTCGACGTCCAACAAGTTCTTGCTGTTTTTCTTCTCGGCGCCTGGAATCTCGCATGAGGAGAGCAGATCCAAAACTTTTCCCGAGGTGAAAGTTTTCACGTCGCAAAAACTACCGCGTCGAATTCTTCCCAATGCCGGAAGGGCTTCGGTCAGGTGCCACGAAGGAGTTCGCGAGACTAGTGGAATTACCTGGCCACTGGTGCATTCTGAAGCAACAACGCCCGAGGAATCATCATCTAGACCAGAGGTTTTTTGAACTGGGTGGTCCTCCAAAGTTGAAGAGAACGCGATCAACTGAATCTCGGATAAACTATTTGACTCCTTCAGATAATCATCTCTCGATAACTGTTTGCCATTGTTGAAAGACGCTACTCTCGTTACATTTCCACCTGGCCCAGATTCTTTGCCGGTCTCGATCTTCTCCGACGATAAACGCAGACTGCTGTCGTTAGTTTTATAACCTGGACGGTTTTTCACGTCGCTAAAATTCTTCTCAAAACTTTGGTTGTGTTTGATCGAGTTCATATTTTCGCGTTCGTCGCTCCTTGTTGTGTTAAATGAGTCCGTATCGATCGATGTGGAAAGTTCAAAATCGCCCTTCCAAAAAGCTTGTTTTTCAACGATGCTTCCAGTGCTAACACCGTCCTCATGGTCTGTGGAACTTTTCCCCGGAGATTTTTCGGCTTTCCTTCTGTATCTTGAAGAATACGCAAGAATATCGTCAACATTTACCCCGGCTTGGCCCGATTTTACAGTCTTCTCAACTTTCATTTCTTTCTGTCCTGACTGAACATTTGTTTCACATCGTTTCTCAGTTGGAATATCATCGAGGGCCCCATCGGAATGATCGGACACTTTGTTATGTCCGAATGAGTGCCTTTGGCTGGAATGCAGCCTTCCTTGCTTGCCATGACTATCTTTCCCGAGCGAATTATTCTCCCTATTTCCCGGCTTTGCCACACTTGGTAATACATTTCTGGAATATGGCTGTGTTAAGCTGTTAAAATATCCGCGACTCGCACCCTCATTCGTCCTGGTTAATCCAGGAAAGCTTGTACTTGTTTTTATTCGTGTTTCGAGACTCGAACCTTTGTTGGCTGCTTGTTCGCGACTTTGCAATTGACGGAGTTTAGTTTGCCTGCTCAACAACTGCCTTCGATTAAATTGTGTCGACGAAATAAACGCTTTCTCTTCGAGGTTGAGTCTTTGATAAGCGAGCCTCAAGTTGTTTTTCCTGTCAAGAGATCCCAAGAGCACGCGTTTCTCGCCGAGATTTTGCTCAATGCGTCGCATTTTTACTTTTGACCTTAACTACCAATGTTTACCAGTTTTCTACACGCAAGTAACCGTAATGGAGTGTATCGATAATAGTAAAATTACTCGTGAATTGTTATGTATTTACTCATTATATGTTCATTTAGCACAAAACCTTGGCGACTTTCAAACAAAACAAGCGTATATTGAATTGTCCGAGGTGATTTTATATTCGTAATAGCTTTTGATAACAAAACAATCAATCTTAGAGATCACACTAAATTGCACGAATTTATAAATACTAGTAAAAACAAAATTTTTGATTGACACTAGAAACGTAGTCACAGTTGTAAGTGTATATTTTGGTTGGTTGTTGAAATGTAGTTTTTACGAATTTTGTGCACGTTGCTCGATTTGGTCTTCGTCAAGTCTGTGCCAGGTGTCGAAATGACGAAAAAGTTGGTGTCAGCGTGAGGACTTATTAGGTTTATTGATCATGACATTTTTTATGACGTAGATGTGCAACTCGTGACGCAACTCGTCCCAGGCCCTCCCCTGTTCGCGGGAAAAACCTGGTAGGAATCTTATGATATCCAAGTGATCCAACTCTTTTAGAACAATACCAGCAGATGTTTTGAAAATATTGCCGCATAGCAGATGTTTTGTGAATATTTGCCGGATATAAATAACTTGTGGAAAGCTAATATAAATTGTTATAAATGAAAAAAAAACACTGCCAGTGACACCCCCTTCTTAAAATGTTACAAAATTATATTATAATCCAGTTTCAAATTATGATATTAACAAGTGAAGCAGTACTGTAATAGTAATAATAAGATACGGTAATCCACAAATGAGAAAGTCTTCTAAAATGTTGCAAAAATTCATTTTTGTCCATTTCATATTCTAACTGAAGACATCACTCTATCTTTAGGCTTTTAGGATAGTTTTTTTTCAACTTACTCAGAGTTCAGTGTTGAACTCTCATTTAGTGTATGATTAAGTTGTATTTCTGTGATATCCATTGAAGATTCACATATCACATGCAATTCATATAAATGCCTCAAAAATCAGGCATCTTATGCACCAATGTTTTCTTTCAATGGCCATTGAAACACTCCTATTACATTTTCCTTTTCACAAATCCTTTAGGAAAATTGATTCCAGTATTTTTTACTCAATATGTCTACGTAGCGATAAATGTTAAATTGAATGAGTTAGCTCAATACATTTATACAGATACAAAACTAAGTGTGCATCTAACGTTATTCTAACTGTACAAATATATAATTGATACAAGCAGTTCTTACGAATGATATAAATCTGAACAACTATCTGATTTTGTCAGTCACATAACATTTCTTTCCAACAACAGCTATTTACGAAACTCAATGTTAAACAAATTGTAGTAGTTGGTACCCAGCAACCAGTATGGCCGGTATTAACCATAACGAGTATCGAAATAGGTTACCTTCTGCACCATTGCAGAGGTGGTCTGTACAACAGCCAACATTGCATTCCATGTAACTATATTCTGGTTCGTCCAGGTCATCGCATGCTGCATCATTTCGTTCACAATACCATTCATCGGCGCACATTTTGGTGTAACGATAGCCACCATCTAATGCTTCTTTTTGCATGCTAAAACATTTATCCATACCTTTAACACAAGTCTGGTTGCTTTTCAGACACTCGTCTAACCTTCCATTCACACATGTATAGCAACTGAGTGCCAGCCCTAAACAAACAAATATATGTTTATTCAACACAAGAGTTAATGTACCTACATCTGCTGGTATAGGAAATTGAGACCACTTCAAATAATTTTAATAATAATTTCAAAAATTTAAAAAAAATGGTCATTTACCTTCATAGACAACTAGTGAGAAGACTGTTAGAGCCAAGTAAAACTTCATTTTATATGTAAGACTATAAAACATAAAGAAATAACTCGGTAAAGATTACTTGCGCTAATTACGGCAATTGTGAGGCAATTAATTTCACAACAGCGATCAAATATATAAATCGTAGGTTTTTGAAAATTCAGTGTTAAATTTTGCCAATATATGTTGTTTTAGCTGACTACAAAACTGTGTGCCCTAAAACACAGTGTTAATAAAATGTATAACAAAGGACTATCAAATCACATCAGAGTTATCACATCTATGAATTAAAGATGCATTCGTATTGACCACAATACATGTTTGAACAGTAGGCCTACGAAGTTTCTTTAGTGTAGAAACCCACAGAAATTAAAACCTTAAAGACGATATCTTAAAATCTCCCACAACATTAGGACTGTATAGAAGTTAAGACTGATAAAAAACAACGTTCCTAACTTCAAAGAGTGTTGCAACTTACATACGTTAAGAAATATGTACCAAAATTAGATAAACAAAAAGCTAGATTCATATTTATGCGCTATACGTCGCAAAGAACAACCAAATTGCAGCGAAAATACATTCTAAAACTCACCTAGCGTTTTGCCAGAACGTTGTTTATCTCGTATTTTGGTTTAAAAGCAAATTTAAACCACAAATTTCAAAGAAAATTCGACATTAAAATGATTGCAAAAATATGCAGAACTTGAGAGTTTCGACGCTACAAAATCGAGAATGGAATGCCAAAATTATGCAAACGCCCGCAATCTTTATTCTGCGGTAAAATACCAAATTCAGCATAAATTATAATAATTATGATGAGCAGGTGACATATTTTAGATGTTGGAAATGGTGCTATGTATGTCCAATAAAAATAAGTTAATCTATGTATTATATTACGAACATCTATACGTACAAACTTGTGTAGGCCCACTGTATATATTTCTTATACCGTGGAGATTATAATACCATATTCATATGTACAGTTAAACAATTTCTGAGTTTCGGAGAAACTTTATGTTTCTCAATCTTCGATGGGTGTTTCCGTGTGTGGTGATAGCTTCCTTCTTTGAGGTTTAAAATGTACTGTTTTTCCAGCATCTTGCGAAGGCGAGGGCTTGGATCGAGTACTCGCACCTGCACGTGTGTTCGCGCGCGACCCACGCGAGGCTATCGCGTGTGTTGCTTTCATCTTCGCTTCCATCTCGAGGATGTATTTTGGGAACAAGTTTTTCTCGTCATAACGCATGCTTATAGCTGAAAAAACAGAGTAGAAAATTGAGAAAGGTTACTTGTGAAAATAAACTGGTTTTGTGTTGTTTATATCATAAACTCATTTGGAATATGGGGGAAGTACTGTCATATAATCGCCCCTTGTTACAACTCACAAAGAAAAACAGTTACAACACGCAAAGCGTTAGCAAATTATGGCAATACTTATTTCACCGTTGTTTGAGGCACGCAGGTATCTCCAACTAAATTCCGTCTTACAGCGGACAAATTTACCACCCATGCATTGCAAAGTGCCAGGTCGTGCAGTATTTTACTCCGACTAACGGCAAACGATTTTACTCGCCTGGGGCCGGTTGTTTGGAAGGCATTTGGCTTAAACGGTGCATAAGTTAAAAATGGAAAACAAAATTATCTATTTATTGGACAAATGAGCTAAAATATGGAAGTACATATTTAATGCATGATGCAGGTTCAGTCATTCACAAAATCTATGAGAGTATTTTTAACCTTTTGCTTATCCACCGTTTAAGCTAAACACCTTTCGAACAACCGCCCCCAGGGGGTACCTGGTAGTGGAATCTTAGTGGCTTACTTTCAGTAATAGGTTGTGTAACATCAACAATCGGTGACCCTCTTCGGCTGCTCATAAAGTCGTCACTGAAATATTTCGAGGGATTGCTGACAAAGTCAGGTTTATTAAGACTTTGAACCGATGACAGCTCTTTCGTTTCCAAAGTCTACAATTTAACAAATAATCAGCGTTAAGCCTTCTTGCAGGCTAAGAGAGGAAGTATGGAGCTTTTAAAAACCACTCTGTGAGTGTCGATACTCTACGTTAAAAACTGGCGTCGAAAAAACTCATGACTTACAATAGATTGACTTTGAAGTCGCATAATACCTAGAGATTGTACAGTTACGAGGATACTCTCACAGTTGGAATATCTATAGACAACTGATATGTTGTTGGAAACATTAAAGGGACCAATTTAAAAGTTTACCTCACAATGGTAAACAGAACTTTATCAACTTTATCAATCCTGGTATTGAGTAATCCTATTTCTACTTACACTGTAGGATAATCCAGTTGGAACACAGTGCTTTTCTTGTTGACGATCAATTGGTTTATTTTCTCTCGTCTGAGGTTGCTGACGCTGACGTTTTTGCTTTCGCGGTTCGCTGTATGCTTTGCCTGGGGACGAGAGAAAAGCAAATTCTGAGAATGTCCATATCAGACTTCTTGAAAAGTCCTCCAAGTTAATGAACAAGCTGTTGGAAGGATTGGATTCAATTCAAAGGTTTGCATTTGTAGACACAATATTTACCCAATATGCTGTGGTCCCAAGTTGACACGGTGAAATTTGGGTCCCACGTTTCAGGAATTTTTACCTCGAGACCTGAATGTTCTTTGGTTCCATGAAAGGCATCGTTCTTGTCCACGACGTCAAACTCATCATCATCGTCCTGGAATAAATTTAGGACGGAAAAGATTGGATATACGAAATTGCCTCAAATGTTACAACGGTTGGGATGGCTACAACGCTTACAACGCGTGCTTCGTGAATATTTATTACCTCGGCCGAGTCAATCTCATTGTCACTTTCAGGTAAATCAATCGGCAAGTCGTCTATTTTCCAATGTTCCTCCTGGGTATAAAATACAATTTACCTTCCATTTAAACGACGTCAATGGCAGATTTATCATGATATGAGATTTAATCTATCCATGAGTATAGAGTGATGTGAGGACATTACCTGGCCAAACACACCGAGTTGTCTACCATGGATATCCCATAATGCAACGGAGCAATCGCTCGACGAAGAGAGCAATAACATTCTGTCAAATCTTTCAAGAATCTCGATGCTTGTAATGGAGTCGAAATGAGGTTGAAATTGTTTATGCAAAGCTAAAAACAATTGAGACATGATTTGTATTTTAAGCTGTCACCCTCCCCCATTTCCCCAAGGTAAGAGGTGGGGGTACATGTCAGGCCACTAAAACATTGGTCACAGTTTATACATAAAGCATTGTGAGTTCAATATTTCACTTCCTCGATCGTACTTAAAAATACTTGGCTTACGTGGCTTTTTGGTTAGAGGTAGTTCATCGTTGATATCAACGATGTACTCGGAAATGCGCCAAACTTTGACAAATCCGTCGCCATCGCCCGTTGCCAAGTAACGACAACTTGTATCAACGGCCATTGTGATCGCGCCAGCTGTAGAAGATATAAGAAGATTAGTAGATGATTCTGTGATGCAACAAATTGTTGGTGGAAATATATTTACAAAACTGACGTTATTCAGGTCATCCTTGATACAACATTGACGTACGCGTAATCCCTAGGATATATTCCGTCGTTAAACGCCCGGACTCCTGGTTACTCTTACCTTGTTCGTGAGCAATGAACTCGCCAACAAGCACATAGCGATTTGTGTTCCAGAAACGAACCTGGCATACAAAAATAGGAATGGCGTTTATAATTGATATCTTGCTCTAACTCGTCAAAGCGACCTGTGATTAGATAAACGACTGATTTAGATTTTAACTATCACTCAAAATGTTGTAAAAGTGTCCTACAACCTGTCCATAAAAAATGAGAACTTCCATTCCAAGCGAACGCTTGATGCATATTGGAAGAGCATGAAATAAAATATACTAGGAATGTCTTAGTAATGAAAGCCGTTTCTTTGTCTGACGATGAATAACATAGCGTCAGTGAATGATAAGAAAGCTATCCAGCTTTATTAACAGATCAGTGAGACATACCCAGCCGCTTGCACCACACGACACGAGATTTACATCTTTGTCAGGAGCGGAAGAAGGTGGACGGTTGTCAAGGAATATTAATTTGTTCACAAAGTAACCGAGATTTGCCTCGTTTTCATCCTGCAGGTGAAAAAAAGACAATGTGTTCACCAAGTAAAAACCAGTTTTCGTTTTCATCTATGTGACTATTGATAATTTACCTGACCATCCTCTGCGGTAGCAGACACACTTGACACGTCATCTCGGATGGCGTCATTTGGTGTCAAGGCAACCTGGGGTGTATCACGTGATCTTTGCAATGCACTACCACTTTGTTCCTATAACGGAAAAAGATAAAATTTATTTTAAAAGATACAAGCTTTTTTGTATCTTCCCTCTGTATTGTCTTCGCCAAATTTCTCTCAAACATCTTACCAGTCTTCTCAACCGTCTGTTGTTACGCGCGGCCTTGCGTGCCTTACAATTGAGATGCCTGAATGCTTGTTCAGAACTCGTGTTCCAGAGCACCAGTTCCCCATCGTAACTGGCCGTGGCGAGGGTGTGCGGTCCAGTAAACGCCATGCACTGAATGTCGTCCTGGTGCTCCTGAGGAGAGAGAATAACCCCAGTTAGGTTTTAGCAAGTTTAGGAGAAAAAGCTCTTGCCCTAAAATTACCTGTCGTCCTTTCCAATCAGACGGGTGGACATAGTACGACGTCAGCTGGTTGTCTCGAAACACACACAACGTTCTAAGTTGAAAGAAAATACCGAGTATTTGGTAGTAAAGTTTGACTGAAATGGTCCATAAAATTAAATTTAAAAATTATCAATGAACCCGTTGACAGCAGAAATCGACTTGAACGTACCTGTCCCAGCCAACAACTAAGATCATTCGTTTTAAGGGTAAAACCTCGGTGATGTCGCAAGGATGACCATCTCCAACCACTAATACGTGATGGCAATGTCCGTTGAAATCCCAAATCTACATGATTGGAAATTTTTGGGGGGGTGGGGAATTTACAAATAACGTCCAAAGAGATGCAGTGACTGTAACACTTGAATGATTTATGCATACCTTGACCGTTCCATCTGCACTTCCTGTGAAAAGTCTCGTTTCACTGGCATCTTGTGTTATCGTTGTTATTTCAGATTCCCCGTGGACATTCTTAAACTACAGTGGTAAAAATATTCATAGGTTCATACCAAAGCATACCAATATACCATATGCAAATGGTATACCACATCTCGACATACCATACAGGCATACTAAACCATACCACACCACTTATAAATCACAACACTATAACATACCATACCACATATGCATATTGTACAAAACCATAAAATATCATAAGAATGCATAGTCACATACTATGCACAACATATATCAAATCATTCCACGAAAACCATTTACCATACCATACCATACCATAATATATTTATATACCATGCCACACAAATACCGTATACCACAGCGCCATTACCATGTTATCTATCATACCTGTTTAACCTTCTGTCCAGTATCAATCATCCACATTGTGACAACTGAACCTACACAAGCGCTCACAACCTAAGACACAAAATAAAAGCAACATTGTCTTGACGACCCATTTGTCCAAACAAAGGAGGAATTGAGTGACTACAAAAATTAACCGTGCCTTACTTGGTTGAATTTCCTGTTATAGATCGCAGCAATCACTGGATGATCGTGACTTACAATACGATCCTTCACCTCTGGTTTCATAACCATCATTGAAAGCTAAGACGGAAGCAGTGAGAGTGAAATTTTCAAGGTAAAATTTCTAGTTTGCTCGAGAGAAGCACAGGTGAAACACCAAATCGTACAAAACGAAGATTTAACGTGATTGGACTTACACGGTGATTGAAAGCAGTCAATAAGGTACTTCTCTCTTCATCAAAGAACATCACAGTCGAGACCTCTGGTCCTTTAGGAAAGACACCGGACAGACGTTGGAGACAGACTTGTAAGTGAGTATCCCAGACACGGAGGACCTTGGAGTTATAGAAAAAAAACTATCATCAGAGTTTCCTGCCATGCATTATCTCACATACGACTAGCATTTTGTACGACCGTTTTGGACTACCGGATTGCCTACTAATAATAGCTGCTTGACGGACAAACCAACGACTGACTGGCTTACCAAACGACAACGCTAATTTCAAAACCGTAAACAAAGAAGAACTCATCACAGATCGTGAATCGCTGCATGATTAACATATTCAATTGCTTCTTGTGTGCCAACATCATACAAAATGCACATTGGATTGTAATTTGCAAAGCCTAGTTTTAAAGTACTAAATATGTTTAGAGCCATGCCTTGTCCTTGGAAAGGCTGATCGTCTGTCCACGTGACTCAATAAACTTGACAGCAACGACACTTTGCATGTGACCACGAAGCACTCCGACTGCCTTGGAAATGACGTAGGGATTCCATAGAAGCACGTGATGATTCACTCCTGCCGTGGCTAGCGGGGAGAAAAATATCAATGTACTCACTCAACGTACTGGAAATAGCTAATTAGCTTTGGTGCCAGTCTACTTGAGGAAACACATCACACCTCTCCCGACAAGACAAATCGTGTTAGCTATTATTCGCAGTAAAGCAAAAACGTCCCAGCACAAGCCCCGTTTACACTACACTTAACTTATTGGCACGGCACGGCTAAAATGGGTACCAGTGCCCATTTTACTAGTGCTCAGGCTACTAAAACAAAGGCCGGGCACGGATGGTATAGGCACGGGTACCAATTCGAGCCGTGCCGTACCAATAAATTGAGTGTAGTGTAAACGGGGCTACAGTACCTATTAGGTTCAATTTTTCGTTGTAATCAAAAGCGTTAACACCTTGTGAGATTTTGAACACGGTCCTGGAAATATAAAAGTTAAAAGATGAAAATCAAACTGAGATATCCTCAATGATTTACAGTATTGCAGGCAGGTGCTGATCTGGTAGACGGGAATATATGATTTTCTGGGAGAATTCAAAAGATATGAGCCATACGTTCTCATAGTGCATTTAGTCTTCTCCATCCATCCCAAGACAAGAGCGTTCTTGTAGTTCGTCGCACATGATATAAAACAATCCAACAAACTCGTGTACATCACTGTCAAGTAAAATAAGACGACTTATGAGCACCTCCATCATGAACGAATCTCTCTCTGTACCTGCTTCTGTATATCCACACACACACACGCGGACGAAGATATCTATCCTCGCACGTTCCTTTCATGCACGAAACTTCGTCAAGCAAGTTTCGTTGCCTATATGTATGGGGTATTTAGTGGTCAGAATTCCTTGCATGAGCAGTAATAAAACAAACAAATACGGGCAATTTTTCGTCCTGTCGAAACCCTAGCATGGCATGTTTTTAATCAAGGTTTCTTGTGAAGGTCGTAAGGATACGCTGTGTTAATTTAATTTCTTAAAATGGGAAATATAAATTAAGGAAAAGTATATTATATTAAGATATGAGAAATTACAAAGAGGAAGGATTGTCAAATTCTTTCCAATTTCATTTGCATATAGACTAGACTTCTCACTAAACGTTGCCTTGCCTGAGATTTCGTTTACCTTGCCTGGTCCATTCCGTGTGTCCATTATGGTAGGCATAGCGGCAGTTTTTATAATGACCCTTGACGATATCGTCGATGTCCACAATTAAGGTGATGTCTAAAATGATTTAACACTAGTTGCATGGGCGCTGTTTACGCAGATGATTTCTGTAGTTGCAGGGCGATAAATAGGAGCCACGGAATTGAATAAAAAAGACGACCAAACATCATCTGCCTAACGGCAGTGACCTCCTCAAAAAGTGTCTCAGACGGGGGAGGGAAAAAATGGGGTAAGTGATCATTTCAAGAGTTGCATATCGAACTTGTCTTAACTAGAGGTACTTAATGTACTAAATCACCGCAATTGAGATCTCACAATAAATGAATTTGAGCGAAAGGTGAATACAGGCGCGAATTGCGATCGACATGCATATACAAATATACCTGGGCTGTCTCAAAAACTATGGTGAAATAGTTCAGTGACATATGGTTTGATTCGGCCTCCCTCTCACAAGAAGCGGTTTAAACACAAGAGTCCAAATGACTGTGGCGGTACTCTAATTTCGCTCGCAACATGAAGTAAAAGCCCCGTTTACACTACAGTCAATTTATCGGCACGGCACGGCTAAAATGGGTACCCGTGCCCAAATTTGCTAGTGCTCAGGCTACCAAAACGAAGGCCGGGCACGGATGAAGTGGGCACGGGTACCCATTTTAGCCGTGCCGTGCCAATAAATCCAGTGTAGTGTAAATGGGGCTAAAGTTTAATTAGCTAGCGGCCTCTGTGAATCAACCACGGTCATGGTATTTTCACAATCAGTTTGAGACCGACTGCATTGATTTAACTGGATGTGACTGTGACAGCTCCACACCCCCTCCACCAATTACTGAACGCCCTGAAATTTAACTAGAACAGTAGTCCCCCGCTAACTCGAACTCGCTTAACTCGAACTAAATCCAATTCCCCCTGAATTTGACAGTGTTTTTAGTAATTTACTCCGCGCTTAACTCGAACTCGCTTAAAGTACTCGAACTCCCCGCTAATTCGAACAAATTTTGTTTTCCCTTGATCAAATATATCTGGTTAATTAACTCGAACTTTGGTTTCGAATCATATAGATCAGCAAACTTTAAAATGTGAGAAGATCAGTAGCATTTTGACAACTGGAAACTATCGAAATAACAACAAGTTAATCCGTGTATAAATGTATAATTGATTTTAAATTTTAAAAGATCTCCTGTAGTGCCACACCGTTATTGATCTAGCTTTTTTAGTTCCTTTTGTATTCTTTCGTTCTTTTTAATTTTAAAACGTCGTCCAATCTCGGTGACCATTCATATTGGTAGCATATCTCTTGAAGAATGATTCGATTGGATTTTATACCTTATTGTATTACTTATATTAAACGTAATCTGACACCAACTCTGGTTAACTCGAACCCCGGTAACTCGAACAATTTTTCTTTCCCCTTGGGAGTTCGAGTTAGCGAGGGACTACGGTATTGCTATCATCAATCGACTTTTAAAATTTGGAACGCTCTAAAAGTTTGGAAATGTTTGGTTAGCGAGCTGGACAGCAAGCATTATTTCCAATATTGCTTTTCTTGATACTGAGTCACAGACAACATTATAGTGTCAAGACATACAGTAACTGGCAATACAAATATCTTGACGCTTACCGCAGACCGACTGGAGTAAAGAACCGCTGCAGCCCTTATTATATAAAAGATCCTTATAAGTTTTACTACATAATATCTAAAAACCCCAACCTACAACATTGACCGACATCAAGTCCTAATCCTAGGTTTGTATTCGTGCACGTTCCCGAGCGGTATTCTGGAAATGCAATGAATAACACAAATATTTATTTAAGGAAGGAACACGGGATGAAAAGGATTTCCGATTCTTTTGTGAATTACCTATATTCGTGTTCCGTTTTAGCAATGTACTGCATGTTGTTCACGAAATGCGCAATGCACGCTTACTTAAGAACCGGTAAGATTTTTTCGTTCAATTGTTTGGTCATCTTTGGCTACAGTGAGTCTGCAAAAGAATCAGTCAAGTTATATCGAAGAAATTTTCCATCAATTTTGTGCATCGTCTGGAAAAATGGTTGAGAAGTCTATCATTGCCGTGGTTTTGCTGCTCTACATCGTGGGGACCATCCAAGTACAAGCAAGGAGTACACCAATAGGCGAAGGGAATATCAAAAGCGACGGTGTTTGGGGAAAGAAGCGAGATTTCTACTACCCTGTACCCTCCAATGCCAAGTATGTCACCTTAAGTGCGCGTGATCACAGCTCAGGAGGCCTAAGTATTGGATCTGGGACTGGTAGAGCGACCGTCAGCTGGTCACGAGGAGATCGTACAGCCAAGGTACATGCTTGGGTCAATGGAAAATTTTGCGTCTGGAGTTGCAGCCCCAATCACATATCTTGGAAGGTTTATGCCCATTTTTAAAACGATCCGAACTGTTTTAATGGACTACGTTTTTTCAGTAATCGAAAATACAAAGGAAACTCCAAATATCTAGTGTAGACTTCATCTGATTTAGACTCAAGATATACTTAATGATCACAGCATATATACATTCAATGATAACGCGTTTAATTGATTAATGAATATAACTGATTTACCTTCAAAATAAAAACGGGAAAAAATTGCTTTGTTGTTATATTTTTTGGGTATAATTCTATACAGGTCGATCGCAATTAGTCACAAACAAATAACTGAAATGACTGCTTAAATGTGGACGATTTTGACGGGGTCAAATAAAACGACAGGAAAAAAATACTTGATTCATTCCATCAATTTCATTGTGGAAGTCAGTCCATATTTGTATTTGTCGAACACATTTAGTTCACAGAAATAGAATATACAGTATATCATTCTCAGGAAGGTTTGCCCGAGATCATATATATACTTAATTTGATATGTTCATGGTTTTTATCGAATGCGTTTGTATAACTGTTTTTTACCTGCAAGAATTCATATTAGTCGAGCTTTGTATTTTAACTGATCGCGTAACTATATGCTAGCTTGTTCTTGTTTCTGTTACTCACGAGGTGATTTAAAATATTTTTACACGGTAAGACTTTGGTTTTTTAAGAAAATTGATTTTTAACGCGGTATTCTAAGACGAAGCACTATCTAATCTATTACAGAAGTAGAGATATACAACATAGGAGGGAAGATTTAAGATTAACTTTCATGAACCCAAAATCATACCTTGTTGGTTGGCATTAGCCTGAGATGGTCGGTCAAACAAAGATATGGTAGATTCACAAAATATCAGAGCATGAACACAGCCGGCCACGTCACCAAATACCAGAATCGACTCGTTCGGTTGCTCAGGATTAGACCTATAGAGTTATGTTAACAAAATCAACACCGTTGTTTAATTGGATTCCTTTTATGATAGTTAAGGTGGAACACTGTCAGGACAAAGTTGTCGAAACTTGAAATAATGGGCAGTGAAGTCATCACTCGCGGTGACAGAATGATCGCCAATCTCTCGCTTCCTATAGGGATATGGGGGTTACCTCGGCCCTTTCAGCTCCACACATACACACACACACACACACACATGTCCTACACATGATTGCATATATTCATATATTCATGTTTATATACCGTAGGAACTATAGCGTAAAATAAAATCAGTCGGGCTTAAGCGAATATATGAATATACACCCTCCACACACATATACACACACAATTAAGTCTCTAGCCACGGTCATAAATTTGAATTTATCGATGTAAAAAGTTACTCTGTAATACAATACCAGGCCCTTCGTTAGGCACAATACAGTGCGATCAACTAATATATAGTTCAGTGTCAAATCTTCTGGGACGAACAGTCACATTATTGCGACAAAAAAAACGTTACAGCTCGGACAAAAACGAAAATGCCTTGGGAATAAGGTTTGTTACAGCTCGACCTTAGCCGGGGAGTTTTTAGCCTGCAACACAGACTATATATACCCCAATATATAGTCTGCGTTGCAGGCTAGGGAGTTTTGCACATGTAAACATGCAGCCAAAATTATGAAGAGAAAACTCACCAGAAATTCAACGAGATTGGAGTGGATTTCAAGCCACGTATCCGATATTGACATAGAAACTCCGACTTCGAACTCAAATCATAAATTGCTGAAATGAACGGAAAATAGTAGATTTATTATTGTTATATTTCCAATCTTCTCGTACCTACAAATCAGTCCAAGTTGAAAACAACAGGCACATCATACAAGTCTCGGGGGAAAATTGCCTAAACTAAACATGCACACTGCCTGCGTGGATAGAAATGGCAACATGATTTAGGATTTCAGATACGTTGAACGCAAAAGGGATGATGAAACAATATTATAGCACTAACGCTTACCAATTTCTTTGCTCGTTAAAGCTAGCACCAACTTATAAGTGTTCTGCATTGGAATGAAATCAGTGATCCACAGATCTCTTTGCTTGACTTCATCTTGTTCTGTGGCAACCTGGAAAAACAATCGTTCTTCAACTACTAAATTTTCATTACCTTAAAGATTAGGTAAAAGCGTCGAAGAAATGTAATGAAACGGTTGTGAAGCAACATCAAACTCGACCACCACCTTGCTAGTACTCACCCGGTTTGTTCTAAATGGTTTCATATTTAGGTTCCAAATAACAGCGACACCCTCCTGGTATAAGGTATAAAATGATTTTATTATAGTGATAATGCAAAGCTAGACTCAGGTGTGTATATTGAATGTATATGTGATGTTGCCACTCTGAATCACCAACCGGGCAAGCTGAATTTATTACAATTAAACTTCTTATGTGTTCTATGTATTTCAATGATACGTTTGCATGGGGCAGCAGTTGAACACAAAGACTTGATTATGTACATTAGACATTGTTACTACCAGTGGAAACTCCCAATTAATTTCCTAAGGAAGATCTTAAGCGCAGGTTCGACTGTTTGACCTACCTAACTTACCTTACTAACGGTGACATATCTCGGGGGATTCATTAACATTGTTATCTTTTGAATACTCTCCTTATGTGGACTAAAAGGTTTGAGAAAATTCAATGAAAGAAAATGCGATGGTGCACAAAATTTTAAAGGTTTACATGGCTATATTATTCAGTATATTCTTTCTCGGGCTATTTATTCGCATCCACAACCAAACTTTGAAATTCTAGTGATTTTAGTTATTTAGTATGCATGCTTTTTCCTGCTATAGACTTTAGTAATAGCGTGGATAAAATAATATGCTTAAATGGCGCCAAAAAGCGTACATGGCGCCTAGAAGGCACGAGTGGCGCCAAGAAGGCACGAGTGGCGCCGTGGCGCGAATGGCGGCAAGAAGAAAAGGCTGGCGAGTCAGAACGGCGCCCAAAAAAGACGTGGATCGACAAAAAAAGCGAATTCATAAAAGCGTAATGTTCACGGCTTGCAAAACGTGTTGACGACGTTTCAACAAGTTAAAGTTTCAATTTTCGATAATTTCGAATAGTTTTTACAACTGTTTTTTATCATTGGCATTCCAAAACGTCTGTCCCACCAAGTGCAAGTGAGTTATGCATTTGTAGCGAATGTGAAAATTCAAAGCCGAAAAAGGAATCGAAAACATGTCAATGGTCATCTAGCTTCAAGACCAAAATGGAAACCATTGCGGCCCAAAAACAGGTGATTTGTTTTTGAATCTGTGCCTGGTTTAATGATAGATTTACAAAATACAGTGTTTGTTTTGTAATGTGCTTTTAACACTTATTAATTTCTCAAAATTTTATATACATACAGTACGCTGGCGTGTTTGTTTTGCGGAGAAACATGCTCTTTACAAGACTCTTGGCATTGACATTGTGCTATATATAAATGTGAAGCTGTTGAAAAATGCTATTTGTTGTTGAAATTTTAAGACTTAAGGCTAAATATAAAAAGATTTATGTAAAAAATCTAATAATTTAAAAAAATTGACTTAGAGTGTTTATCTTCTTGCTAAAGACTTGGAACAACTTCAATGGCAATTTTCAATATGATTCATGAGTGGATGAATTGCAAACAATTTTTACATCAAATTACCTATTGATATATTTCATTTCCCTCCACTGTGGAACCTAGAACAAAGCAAGAAATCAGTGCAGATATTTCTGATTCAGATCACACTTCTTTGCATTGAATATTTTCCATTCACCAACCAACCTGGGTAGTTTTCAGTCTGTCATCTTTCTCCTGATAGTCACGTTGCATGTGAGAGCAAAACTTATCCCAGTCCACAAAGCCCTCTTTATCCGTATCAATGATGTCAAACAGCTCCCGATATTCAGCCTCACTTCCATCGCTCACAATGCCAGACAACAGCTCACAAAATTGTTCCACGTCTCGTTTTGGTTCCACCGTATCCAGCAGAGTTATCTTGCAAATGGAAGGGACTATGTAACTAAGGTGGTTACTGGAGTTGGAGAATGGAGCAGGGGATGCCTTACTCATTCTGTTTGCAAAATCCCAGTTAACATGAGCATTTTCATAAATTTAATATATTAAACTGATGAATATAGAATTGCATATGAACATACAGGGAATGATTTTTGTATTCTTCTGAGTTCCTTTATAGTTAATCTGCTAAGCAATTTCAATTTGCCAAAGCTTGTTACATTGGCCTTATTTCTAGAAAATAAACAATTAATAAATAATTTAATTAATATATAACATATATACTTCCTTTTCAGCTGCATTTAAGGGGAAAGACAAGAAACAAGCAACCTTCTTACATGGAAACAGTCCTCACAATTGGAGATTCAAATCAAGCTGGTTTCAACAGAGAAATTCTTCAGGGCCTTTTTAAATTGTTTCCTGACCTGAAGATACCTTGATGACACCCCATTACCCCTTCCTACAAGACCTACAGGCTACAACCCTACACTAAAAGGTTCAAAGTGACCTCTACATCTCCCCTGCCATTAAAAATGCAAGAAAATATCATTGAAGAATAGTAATATAAAAAATATATATATTATTTGTTGTATATATTCATTATAAACTCAACTGTTTGTATTCATCCTCAGGTCTCCATTGGCTATTTGCAACATCGTTTGATGCTTTTCCTTCGACAGAAGGATTTCCCATTTTTATGTGCTATAAGCGCAACATAATCCAATTTGATCTACAATCAGTGAAACTAGCTCTTTAATGTTAAGAAAACCAAACTTATTTCGAGTGAAGTTGTTTACGCTAGATGATAATGTCTGATAATGCCACCGGCAGTGATCCGTTGTCAAGGAAATGCCGTGGTTTGCCGGAGGTTTTATCACTGGATTTTTACAGACGAAATGCCCGGTAGTGTCAGATGAGAGGGCCAGACGGAGTTTGACGGACGGACCCCTTTCAGCCCCTCCTGATGCGTTTAAGACCACCATTGCAGAAAGTCCTAAACCATATGGAGGTTTCGTAAAAAGACATACAAATCATATTACCCGATGTTCATGCACTACAGCGTGCAGTAAAAATTCTGAAAAATCGCATCTCCCCTATCTCGATTTAATATTCATGGATTTGTAATTGTAAACGTGGAAAATCGCATCAAATGCAGTATAACAGGTGAATAAAATTGAGATGATTAAACTTTCAATCTAACCTCGACGTTTCGACCTGAGAACTTTCATCAGGAGAGAAGTTTAGAAAATAAAGAAGAAAATAGGCAGTTGTTTTAGGCTTTATAATAGCACGTTTGAGGTTACATGTGAAGACGCTACCATGCTGCTCCTTGATTACGTAGAAAATCTCATTTACGATTACCTTTCCATGAACTCTCAGCTTGGGAGAACGCCCCTTCCAGTGGTCACCCACCCACAAGTCCACAACCCACCATTGCCAATTCCAACCGGTCACCGGAAATGCAAGTTAGTGCTTGTATTAGAATCGCTGATTACCTAGAATACGTCAAAACAAAGATGGACTCCATCGCGAAAACTGTGTTTACGAGCAAACTTAATTCCGTCACGGATTCTGTGAGCAAAGGATTGAACTTTGGAGACGATAAGAACGACAAGGACGAAGACAGACAGCTTAGCTCGAAGGAAATACGAAAGCTTGAGGAACAAGATAGAGCTGACCGGGCGAAAAGAGAGGAAGTTCATGCAAGACGTAACGAGGAAAGGCAGAAGAAACGCGAGGCCATCAGAGCCAAATATGGACTATCAAACGAAAGAGAAAGCAAAGACACTACACGGCCTCCACATAATAAGGCAGATGAACCGAAAAGTCCAGACGAAAAATCGTGTGCCGTTATGTAAAGTTGGATTAATATTTCACAATTATATATATGGTACTGACACTTCACACAAAGTTATCCAAATTTTGAAGACGTTTTCGATATGCGACCAGCTGTGTGTGTTGTGACGCGTTTTAATGCCTTTTAATTGTTTGAACAGTCATGGATTTCATGTTATCAAGCTTGGAGGCATTTCGCTTCTAAAATGTGCAGTACTAGTACTGTGTTGTTCACTGTTCAGTTAATAACTGATAATTCATATTAATTTAATATTTTGTACATCATAACACATTAGTTCGCGTGGGGTTCTCGAGGTTATCCCACGGTTGCAGAAGTAACTGCATCTAACTTCATTAAAGCCCTGTTTATATTACAGTTAATTTTTTTGGCACAGCATAGCTAAATTGGTACCCATGCCCAATTTTATTAGTGTTCAAGCTACCAAAGCAAAGGCTGAGCACAGGTGAAATGGGCATGGGTAACCATTTTAGCCAATTTTAGCAAAAAAATTGAGTGTAGTGTAAACAGGGCTTAAACCACAGTATAGGGAGTTGCCTGGCAGGGCGATTCGCATCCAATTGGGGGCTACCTGTTCCCTAGATGTCAGGCCCTTTTATGTCAACCACAAGGTTTTCTGCTATGGATCTTCATACTTCAAATGCACTGTTCCCAGAGACATAGCCTGCTGACTGTTGCCAAATAATTTTGTTCTTTACATTGAAGAATGTCTTGCACCCAGGGTACTCAACATGTCTAAAGTAACCATACATACCTAATATATTAAAACAGACATAAATGCGTGAATTATAGAAGCAGGAACAAAAAGAAAATGCTTTCTGTAAAGCTCCTAAATTATGATCGTCCTGGATATCATTCTTGTAAATATCAAGTGTACTATGAACTTCATAAAATTCACTCGTATGTGCAATGTTACCTAGAAAACTGTAAAGATATTAAAGGTATATGCCATATCAAAAATGCAACGTAATAAAAATAGTTTTTTATCTCACCGAAAAGACTTATGTAATATTATTAAAAGCATGCTGGTTTTGTTAAGGTTTTGATTATTTTTCACCCATTTTATTACGTTCTTAGTCAATTTTTCGTAAAGTCGTAAAGTTCTTAGTCAATTTTTCTGGAAAACATTCATTTTTTTAAGAAACTCTTTTGGCACAATGATGTTTTTTGTGCGAAAAAATTTCACCACGCTTGTTACAATTTACATTCTTTATACTAATTATGCATGATTTGCAACAATGAATTTTTGTTACACTGCTGTTCGGAATACTTTTGTAACATTTCGGAATCTCACACGTGTAAATTTGTTACTTTGCTCCATTCTAAGCTAGGAATAATTGTAGCGGCAAAACCTAACAGACATATTGGTAAAACACAGCCCTAATTTCTTACTTCTTGTTCCCTGCGACACAGATTTAAACTATAGTTTAACCGTAAACAGACACAAAACAATTATAATTACAATGCATTTATTTTTGTGATTCCTCTATAGAAGCTAGAATAAAATTTCGTAGAAATATCATAAAATATCTAATTTCTAATTTAAATCTTCTAATTAGCACTTTTCTAGAATATTTGAATTTTCTATTACAATTTGAAAAAAAACAAGAAGCAGCCTATTAGCACTGACATGTGTTTGCACTTTTTTGATACATTCTGTAGTTAGAGTGACAGAATCGGCCAATCAGAATTGTGTATTTTGGAGTTGACTACGATTTATTAAATACGTTGGCAAGAGTTTAAAATAATAATTTAAAACAAGCATGCACCTTGAATTATTTCTCAATTTGAAAAAATTTAATGTCAACATTGGTTTCTATGTTCACGATGGATCGTGTGATGGACTATCCAGTTTTTCTCTCATATCAGTGGTGCACTGATCCCAGTATTCAAACCGGATGTGGACTTTTAGATCTTGACGATGAGACGTCACTGTAGGTTGAACCGAGTCTTGAATTACTCAGCAGCGGTGTGTGTTCTCCACTTTTCAGAAGTGATTCCTGTGATCGCCATTTTTTGCTTTGCCGTATCCTCTTCGCGCGAATTTTGCGCAGCTCTTCATCGCTGGGCGCTGGGGGAAGGTCGTCATCGTCAAACGCCCAGCCCTTTAGGCTGGCCTCGCCTGCGCGGAATGGCGCCCGCGCTACGAAATGCAACACGGTCGACACTCGATGCCAAAGCATCGTTATAAACTGAATCACAAGTATGACGCCAAAAACAATTAGAAAACCAAGACCTAGTGGATTGGTGTCGGCAACATTAAGTTGGGTCCTTAGTGTCAATGTGAATATTAAAATTATCCATACCAGATTTGCGACCACCAAGCACACCACGACGGAATTACGCAGCTCGGCGAGTTTGTCGGCAAGCTCCGAGTACTGCCCGAACGCTTTGGATTCGGGTAGAAGGCGAAGTTCGCGGAGTCTCGTCCAGAACTCGTGCTCAATGCCATCATTATCGTCTTTGAGGGATCTCAAAGGTACCCTGTTCAAAGTTAACCTTGCCTCACGAATCTTTCGTTCAACTAAAAAGTAAGAAATATCAAGCACGTCGAAAATACCACCGAATAGGCAGGGGCACAGTATTACAAAATTTATCTGTGTGGGGGTGGGGGTGGGGCCCACGTACTGGGACCGACTTTTGTACGCGTTTGTATTTGATAGGAAAAGCCTGCTATTATAATTTCGTCTCAAATGAGTTCCCGGACCGCCTTTCTTGGTCTCATACAGGTTTCCAGACCGACTTTAAGACTAATTTCACAAAAGCAAGGGGGGTGTCAAAACTCAAAATGGTGGACATGCGTACTTGCACTCGGATACTGGAGCCTGCGAATAGCCAGTGTCAATTTCTTGACGTGCCCACTTTTCCAAATCTCAAAATCATCGTTAAGGAGTGTATTCAGGTCGGATTGATTCATAACTTTCAGATCCTCCAATGCTTTCGGATTGTCATAACTGTTCCTCTTGAAGTTCAACCAGTACTCGTGGAGACCCAGATCTGTTAACCAAATGTCAACGTTGTCCTGAAAATAGACAACAAATACTGTGGTAAGGCTCATGCACTATCGTGATTGGGCAACTTTCCTCGACGGGAAGATTTGAAACTTCCTTGTAGAGAAATTTGAAGACCCAACGTCACCCCTCATTATGTGGTGTACCCGCTTAAGCATGGGACTCGGGGAAAACCCCGCTACCCGTCTCAGTGGCCTCGCCCAGTGCCTTTGAACTTTGGACGGTTAATGTAAACCTGAGATTTGTTAATTCACTCTTTTTCGGCTATGGCCAGTCAGATTTTATTTACTTCAAAAGACGCAAGAGTTTTTCTATGAAATTAGTCGATATTTTGTGATTATGTGCAGTTATAAGAAACTATAGCTCTGACTTAAATTTGAAACTGAATTAAAGTATATTTGAAGATATATTCAACCGACAACTAGCCCCAGTCCTATCCCGTCATTCCAGATCACCTGACCGGGTCCTGGGCACAGAGGAAGAATACATATATTCCTCTGTGCGCCGGATCTCACAGCTAATTATTGAGTAAATAATTACCGGAACATTGTTGTCTAACTCGACGACAGGCAGTTGTTCAATCTCACGTAAGAGTTTTTTGCGATGTCCTCGTGTCTCGATTCCAATATCCTTAAGTTCCTATAGACAAAAATATAACAGTTTCTTTTAAATTTCTTCTTAAAATACGAACTAAATGAGTATGATATACATGATCACAATAACCCGTGTGAATTTTAGTAACATAAATCAATTCGTGGACCAACCTGTTCCGTCATCCCGGAGATAAAACTGGTATCGTCATATCCATTTTCTTCAAAGTTAGGTATGTATTGCTTTGTAGCGAGAGTAAAAAAGAGAATAAGGAAATGTTAAACAGCAGCGAAACCAATTTGATAATTGGTCTAAAACGAAATTCCCTCTTGTTTCCGCTGATACGCAACCCCACGAAAACATGGAGCGGAAAAAAGGCCGAAATTAGACTGGAGCATTTTAAAAAGAGCTGTTTAAACGACGCGTGAGATAATTTTGAGGTATTGAAATGAGTCTTTATGAAACCAAACAAGAACATACCTTTGTTAGGATGACTAAATCACTGCTAGAATCATGTTGTATGCTCATTTCAATACTTCGAAGTCATCTTAGGCTTTGTTGAATCCTGGCTAAGCGGATTCGTGTGAATAACCCCTGTAAGACTGATTTTCAGAACGTACTTACTTTCATTTTACCGTCGAGCCACTCGGATGCTAAGATATGCGTCTTGAATGTTGGCAGTTTCGCTTGGAAATGAACACTCCTTTTACCATCTTCGCCAGGAAAACGGAATGCTGGAAAACAAAGATACAGAACAGATTGATAGGTTTGAAAACGTCACATCTTCAGGTATATTGTCTTAGAGAAAGGTACATATCATGATTGTAGCCCTGAATGTATGGTATTTTTATACGATGGTAAAGGGCATAGGGCTGCCTCCGCGAGAAGGGGACAGTGGGGGTGGCTGTCGCCGCTTCCCGCGTGGTTCTGGCGCCCCTGAACATTGCCTACTCGGAACTCCGAATATAATTTATACATACCTGCTGGGCTCGCAGGTCGTGAGATTTTCTTCAACGCGGATTTCATTGGTTTGTGCGAAGAAGGAGAATAAGGAGAATGCAGTAAAGATGAACTGCTTTCGCCACTCTCAGCGCTCGTCGTTTCATCGTCCTCGATGTCCCCTTCTTTCTCTTCACCTTTCGATTTCGGAGGAGGTGGATTGTCGGACTGCGGTAGATATATATGCATGGATAGTTTGTAAGGAACGTTTTGCGATTTTTGGTGGAAAATTCTTTTATAAAATAACATGTATATATATAACGCGTGTTTTGATTTGTCGAAGCCCGTGTTTGAATCAGGCCATCCAAACACGGAAATTTAAAGTTTTTAAAGAATTTAAATTTAAATTCAGGCCTCGTCGTGGTTATTTTATAAAACAATTCGCCGCTTTTCTTAAATCCCGCAACATTCCCGCGTGTTTGGATTAGATCATCCAAACACGGAAACCATGCATTAAGTAATTGTATATTCATAGCTAGATGGGAAAGAGCAATTTGTTACAAATGCTCTCACGTGTAAGAGATCTTATTAGAAGATCTGTAACCATTTGTATACCTCTTCTCCTCTACAGCAGGTCAAACTGGTTCTTCTACTCACCTCTGTTGACGATTCATCGTTACTGTTTATATCATTAACAGGCGGAATTGGTTGTGCTGCTGGTTCTTGCACGGGATCCTTACAGCCTCGACACAACCATTTCAATTTATCCGTGATAATTTTCGTTAGCGATTCGTCGTTGGCTGTTTTCACCTTGTTTTCCCGTGTCCCTAGAGATAAACAACATCGCTATTTCAACTCTCATTAGAAAAGGATATTACACAACACAAAACAATGCCTCACAACCCCTAGGTAACCCAAAGTCTTTCTTAGAGTCAGGGGCCGGTTGTTTCAAGCCCGTTTAGCTTAAACGGTGGATAAGTTCAAAATAGAAAGCAAATCTATCGTTTTATTCAACAAGCAAACTTAATGTGTTTACAACTACATTTTCAGTGCATAATATTCAAATTGACTCATTCAAGAGAGATGTGAGAGTGTTATTTAATTTTGACTTATCCACCGTTTAAGCTAAACGAACCTGATACAACCGGTCCCAGGTCAATATCAACACGCCGTTTCTCAAAGCAAATCTGTTCACCACAAAATAGATAACTTACCCCAAGACCGATCTGTGAGATTACATATGGAATATACAATGAGGAATAGATATCCAGAAGGAAGACAGAGCAGGTACCAGACCCCATGAACTAAACACCCTATTTCGGTCGGATGGCATGCTGCCGTAATAAAGAAGACGGCGAGAAGCCCAAAAAAATACCACGAAGAAACGGGAAAATCATAAAAAACACTTTCTTCCTTTTTGTGTTTGGGATTGGTACCGTTTGAGTTGTTCTTGCTGGCTGTAAAACAAACAAACGGTATAAGTCGCCAAAGCAAACCACAACACAAAAGTTATTTCAAGGCCACAGTTGAAATGTAAAATTTTCTCAAAATGTCTACACTCAGAATGCATGATATTTCATCTTCCTCAATTTGAACGCAAGACTGTTTTCATATGGCGTCCTTATTGCGTTGAAAACTGCTATAAAAAGCGGCTCTCGGCATGCAAAAAATAACGATAGCTTTACGAAATCGCCATTATAACTAACTGCTATTTTGAAAGGTTATTTTAGATAAGTTTTATGCACTTGCCTAATAACTTCAATTATTATATACACAAGTCCCAGATATGAGGTATGCTGCAATTTCATTGGTTGGTTACTAGACAGATATTAGCTCATATCTGTCTAGTAGAGAAAGTAAACAAAATGGCTGAAAGATTTGGGGAGTTGAGTGAAATATAAATCCAAGCTTTAGTTGATAATATTGCACACCAAAATGCACCGAAAGGCGACAAGGTTTGTGTATATAATAAAACAGTTATTCTGCTCAGCTCAGCTCTGCTATCAGCTCATATAGCTGCGACTCGAGTTCGCAGAATAACTGTTAATTATTTTTCCAACCGGCAGGCAAGGATTGTTTAATAAACACGTCTTGAAGATAAATCAAAAAGTAATACTAATTAATACGAAGGGTTCTTTTGAACCAGACGTACTAATTTATCATCAAAGACTAAGGTAAAAGTTTCTCCGGCATATCATACCAAAAAACTCAGGTTTTCTAAATAACAGCTTCCCGTGTTTCTTTGAAAGAATGAAAAGATCTGTAAAACAAAGTGTGAATGCAAAACTTATTTTTAAGCGTATGAATAGCGTAGAAATATTTCGATGTAAATAGTTTAATTGCATGTCAATGGAAGCACATATTGAATGCATAAGATGTAGGTTCAGTCATTCACAAGATGTATGAGAGTATTTTTAAACTTGGGCTTATCCGCCGTTTAAGCTAAACGCCTTTCGAACAACCGGCCCAAGTTGTTCAAAGCTAGGTTAGCGCTAACCCTGGGGTTTAGTTTATGTGTTCTGAAACACTGTTCGTTTTAAAACTTGAGCCGGAAAATACCACTTTTATATCGGTCCAGAAAATATTTATGAAAAAAGATTCAACTTTGTAAAACGTAAAGCATCGGTTTAAACCAGGGTTAAGCTAACCGGCTTCTAAACAACCAGCCCCTGAGGACCATTGCACTTAGTAAGAATTGTGTAACGGGGGCTTAATGTCTAGCAATACGACAAATAAAATTTCCATAACCTTGATTGAATCGTGTAGGTAAGGCAAACTGATTTCCTTCCAGTTTCGTCTTATTTCTTGTCGGCCGAAGAGGAGGATAGGATGTTGTTGCTAAAGAAAGGAGAAATGAACAGTTAACATTTACTTCATTACAATTATCCTTGTATAACCATCAGAATACTCCTCACAATGGATTATGGAGTGCCCGGACCTGCTCCCTTGGATAGAAAGGCAGATTTACCGTGAGGACGATAACGTCAAAGATTGCGTGAATGTCCATATATGGAAACGTCACGCCATTTGTTCGCCATTTGTTCGCCATTTTCACGTCCTCTTAGATGACGTTCACGTCCTCGTGTTAAAGCTGCCCAAAAGGACTATCGCGTGTCTAGGCAAAGCCGGAGATCACAAAAGTTTACTAAACCCCGAGTAACATAGAGTAAACTCTGAGACTGGAATCCAAATATTAGATCGATCTATTAATTAAGGATCCTTCATTAATTAAGGATTAGGGATCCTTAATTATCATTATTATTAAGATCCTTGATCCTTAATATTAATAAGACATGCACGAGCGAATATTTTGAAGACTGGAAAGAGCCCTTTCTCGATAAATGAGCAACTATTTTACTGAAAACCTTACTGTCTATTACCTACTACATTAGATTTAACGCCTCTTTAACTTTCTAAAAAACTCCAGTAACCCAATATAATAACCCCCACTCCCCCCCCCCCGAGCGAGCGGGGAGGGAGAGGGTTGGGCAATAAAGTTTCCCGTCATTTGATCAGTGGCAATACCTGGCTTACTGGTAGGTTTTGACTCTCCTTCGGGACTCGCAACCAAAATTATTAGGACGCCAATAAATGCAGCACTCATAATTAACGAGAAAATTAACGTTAAGACTCTCGCTGCCAACAGCTGAAAGTCCTGAGACGTGTATAAACACAATAATCCATAGCCGAAGGTAATGATCAGCAAAATAACTAACGAAGCAGTTGGGTCCGATTTCCAGCCATATTGCAAGCCACCGACCATGATAAGGATAACTGTCGCTGGACTGAAAATATAAAAGACGTACGACAGGCAGCTAAGAAACGAGTGTTATTTATTCGACTAAAATCGCGTTTTCGTTCTTGTGGCGCTCGCGCGTGTTCCATGAATCTACTCGGTTGTCGTAACAGAGAAATTAGGGAGAATTAGCATGAGGACGTGAACGTCAAATACGACATGAAAATGGCGAGTAAATGGCGTGGCATGTCCATATTTGGGCGCATCACGCCATTTATTCACCATTTTCACGTCGTCTTTGCCGTTCACGTCCTTATGCTAAATCTCCCTTATTTAGCAAACACGACGTGACGCCTAAAACACGTCCCGAAAATGGCGTGGATATGGCGTGGTATGTCCATATATGGCTGTGATTACGCCATAACCACGCACGCCATTTTCACGGTGTCGCAGGCACAGAGTAAGCGCAATCTATTCTGGGTACTGTTAAGGCACTCTACTAACCTGATAAGGGTCGCAAATACATTAGCAGCTTGATACAAGATGAATGGGAACGACATCGAATCGTTGTTCTTTGTGGTGATGTCCGATTCACTGATCAGCAACGCTAAGTTCGCAAGGGTCGATGGGATCCACCGACGCCGTTGTTTGAAGAACTCGTCAAAGTCGTCAGGAACGTACGTGAAGTTCTCTGCGGCTGCGCAGTACTCCAGACGCCATCCAGCCTGAACCAGCAGAGTGCACAACCAGCGGTCTTCGCCTAGAGTAACAATAAAAGTACTAGAGCATGGTGCGATCAAAGAATTCCTGAACATGACACTTGTGCCATGGTGGGTACACCGTTTGAAAATAAAACTTTCGCAAAACAATCTTTGTCAGAGGCGCCGGGAGCAGTTTAGGGCGGTTGGGTAAGAGTTTCAGCACAGGGCTGTCTCCACTCGTTCCCGTAAACAAAGGGCAATGGGGAGAAGCTGAGCCCGTGGTTCCGTCTCCCCTGATCTTTATATACCCCTTTCATCAAACTTTGATAACTTTGTCGAGTTACCATGGTATTGATCGTATTATACATGCAGAAACTGCATGCACGATGGGGTTAGTGGATTGCCCGCAACTTACCCATATCCTTGGTGAGAAAATCAATAGCACGATCTGCAGAAGATGAATACAAGGACAAGACATCCCTCAAAGCCTTAGCTCTATACACGCTGAAGCATCCCGGACAGCAGAGGACCGAACCCAAAACATGATTGGCTACCTTAAAACAAAAAGGAATAGGCCGTTTGCATAGACAATGTTATCAACTAGGAAGTTTACACTTCTAAAGTTTAGTTCCATTTTTATTAATCTTAGGCTCTCTCCAGCTTTTACTGTAACCCAGTACGAATCAATTTTTCTAGTACAACATAACAACATTCAGTACAACAGGAGAATCGTCTACAAACTATATCCCAGTTCGATTCTAACTCTGTATAGGCTTGTTCACACTTGCGATTTTTGGTGCGATTTTATGGTGTGATCTTCTTTTGAAGGATGTGAACGACAGAACGAGTGATTTAGTTAACATTCGTGACTAATTACTCGTTCACATCTATCAAAAGAAGAAAATCGCAGTAAAAATCGCAAGTGTAAACGAGTCTTATCAACGCACGTCGACATGTGATGTATGATGCACCATGCACGAGATGTTACCCAGGACACTCTCGCATTACATATTATACCTTCTGTAGCCAATGACCGATTGCGTAATCAAACATTTGATACCAGACCATTGGCCCATGCCCCAAGGGATGTGTTCGACCACACACGGCGCCGACGTTGGGATCACGCATCAACAAATCCAGGAGGGCCTCGACCGAGTCCACGTCAAATCGAATGTCCGCGTCTGTCGTGAGGATGTATGTGTCATCTTCAAGGGCTAAATAAGTACGAGGAAAGTTTTAGGCCAAAAACCACGGTTGAACGAGAAAGGAAAATCTCTGAAATTTGAAAGCTGAACAGTCAGAAAGAATATCGTAGAAGGAAAAAAGGTGCTATCTTTGCTTGCGAAAATTTGTAAAATATGAGGAATATAGCGCCGCAAAGTTCATAAAGTTTGAAACTTTGAAATTTGAAAATTGAACAATCATAAAGTTCATAAAAATTTGAAAACATGCATATACCTATGCACGGTTAAAATAGCCACTTTTAGGCTGAAAGAGTTTTATCTCTTCCTGCGCAATACAAATATACAAAAAATTAGTGAACTTTACAGGGCTATTTTTCACGCTTTGCAACTAAACTTTGCATCTGCACTGTTTTAAAGATGCTCTTCCTTCTCTTTTTTGCTCGGATCAAAATTCTTTGCATAGCCTAAGTCATCTATTTACCATTCAGTTGTTTCATTCTGAAATCCAGAACGTAAGACATGTACATGACTTGACTCCATCGTTTCTTGTTTTTCACCTGAAAAACAAAAGTTGGAACTTATAAAAGAGGTATATTATTTGGGGGCAAATACTGGGTGTCCCAGAAAAAAGTACTCCGGTTTGATTCATAATAGCTTCTAAACTAGCTAAGCTATTAAACTGAAATAACTTTCACTAGATAGAGGGAAGACTAACTTAGATTTTGATATATTACAGTTGTATTTTACTTTAAAATTTACGGAGATATCAATGTTCAAAATTGGTAGCATATTTCTGGATGTGTCAAAATTATATTGATTAACATTTGATACGGCGTTTTTTGCATAATTTAGACACATCCAGAAATATGCTACCAATTTTGAACATTGATATCTCCGTAAATTTTAAAGTAAAATACAACTGTAATATATCAAAATCTAAGTTAGTCTTCCCTCTATCTAGTGAAAGTTATTTCAGTTTAATAGCTTAGCTAGTTTAGAAGCTATTACTAATCAAACCGGAGTACTTTTTTCTGGGACACCCAGTATATAGCAAAAGGGTTATATTGATTTACGAAAGACGAAAGGGGTTGAGAATATAGTTTTACCTTAACATTGTCTTTTAAATGAATGTGAAAATTCATGCCACCTGGTAGGCGCCACCTTAGCTCCATGCCATAAGGTGTTTCCAATTTTGTACAAGCGCCAACTTTTACATTGAGTGTCTTGTTCACCAGAGATATCAGTTGGAGAACGTAACTAGTAACATGGGTTATCAAATTAGCATAAAGCGCGTGAAAAGTACAAAATTGTACTTTGTTTCTACGAACATTGAGATTTTGTCCGGGGTAGCGATGGTGATGTTCCCTAGAAGATTAAGCACATTCCATTGGGGGGATTATCAGAAGCACATTCACCAGCAGGCCAGCTGAGTCGAATTTAACTGAGTTCAGTTAAGTGTGGTTGAACTGTTTAGACCCGTTGACTTCAGACCACCAGTTCAGAGCAGTTCAGAGCAGTTCGGAGCAGTTCAGAGTAGTTCAGTTCAGCCCTGCTGATCTCAGCTCAGTTAAATTTAACTTGAATCATTGAGTTCAATCCAGTTTAATCCAGTTTAATTCAATTTAAATTTAGTTTAGAGGTCCTGGTCTTAGTGCTTTTGCCCGGTTTAGACTGTCAAAGTTCCTGTGTTCAGTTGAGAATTTGCATTGGCAAATCCCAAATGTTTTGCAGCGAGTGAGAATCACGATGAAGTAACTCAGTGGTAAAGTTCCCTGTTTTAGTTCCTTTGAATATTTCTAACACAAATACTTTGAAAATAAGGATCTGCCGTTTGAAAATACCAATTTTGAGCACAGAAAATTTGACAGTGCATGTGAACCGGGCCTTATACCTGTTGAGGGTATTTCTTTTAACGGCGCCATCGAACCAGATATGTGATTCGATTCTTCTCATACTTCGCTGCCTGGCGATGTCGACACGACGTATGGAATGTAGCAATTGTTCCATTTCGTAGTCAGCTTCGTGGTACATTGTCGTGCAGATGAAAATACAGCTGTCCTTCGCTAGTTTGTTTTGGTTCACGAAATATTCGTCTGTCATTTCGTTTTTACGATTTAAGAGCAGGCTCTGTTCTAGGAGGACAGCTTTGAAAAAAAAAGGAGAAATTGTACAACAAATATTAACCAACTGCGGGTACTGAACGTCGTTATTATATAATACCAGCGTTAGAATTTATGGGATGGAAACAGTTTATAAAATAAAAAAAACTTGATTTAAAAATTGGAGCGGAAATTTTCGAGCGCTAATTTTCTTTTGCGAAATTCTATGGGCCCCAGTGCCTCACCCCTCTCCCCAGAAACACGCATAAGAAGCAATGATCATACCATTATAGGTGGGTACCCAAAACAACTGACTTTCTTTTGCCATAATGAAATCTTGAGATCGCCAGATGTAGTATGTCGTGGATGCGAACTGCCCTACAAATGCGGCACAGCACACACAGCAAGCCACAATTAGTTGTCTGTCGCTAACTGGCGGTGGTTTGTGATCGAATAGCCAATCATATGACCATATCTTTTCGCAGCCGAGAGCAATGAAAAAACTTATAGGCGTCATTAAGGTGATCGGGAAAGCAAAACTGATTTTCTGTAAGGCCATCGAGCAGGCGATAATACCAAGAATGTAGCCGAGAAAACTGATGAAAATGTTTGTCAGGAAATAGGCGAATACTTGATCGTGCATTTCGCCCAGATATTTGAAACCGCCCAAAAGATCGAATCCCTCTACATCGTGAAACAACCACGTCACCAAATAGGTAATGAATGGTGTTGCGAGGAGCTTCACAAATTCGCTTATCATCGTCGCTCTCTTCCGGGCTGTTTTTAAACGCAGAAATTGTCCAGGATGCGCCATAAGGTCTTCACTCTCCAGAATATCTTCATTAATGTTGCTATTTTCATCCTCTGAATGAGAAAACACTTTATTTAGCTAGCTATATACGAAGCTTTCGAGGCACACGGCGTTCGAAAAATGCAGCCACTAACATCGAAGGCATTTTTCGGAAATCGGAATTAATGTGCCGATTGCTCATGGTAAAAATACAAGTTCATTGAAAGAATAAACCCATGCAGTCTTGTTTGGTACAATTAGGATTTCTAAACTTAATTTCGTATCGAAAATAGTGAGTCCTTTTGAATAAAAAAAAGGTTTTATCGAAGTGGATGCACGCACGGATTTTCAAACGAACTATCTTTTTCTTTGTCCAATTGAGCTATTATTTATTACATAACGAAAGAAAAATTGAACTGAATAGGTATATCTTGAGGGAAAATATCCTGAATATATATGTATAGTTTTGAATGTAACTAAATATTGGGACGGCTCATCGCGCCAGGAAAAGATTCAGTCGGTAAAAGATGTTGTCACGTAAAGCCCGTTTTCCATTGGGCGAATTTAATCGCGCGAACTACAAGTTCTTCAACGTGATTGGCTAGCGTAAACACTTTTCGCAACGAACTTTTTTGGCTGACCAATCACGATTCCGAATTTCGGATTTCGCTTCGCGTCGCACGAACAAATTCGCCCAGTGGAAAACGGGCTTAAAATACGAAATTCGATAGTTCGTATTGATGGATGACCTGTTTGTGTTAGCCAGCTCTTGTACACAGCCAGATAAACTGTCTTAAGTTCGTCAAGACAATGTGTCTCTAGCACATATAGTTTTATATTCTGCAATTATTCAACTAAATTGGAGTTACGATATATATTGAACGTGGTCCTGTATACCCTAAGCTTTGTCAAAACAGGTGGTTGTTAAATTTGTGAACTTGAGGTTTAGTGATATAAAAAAGGTATTTTACCTAAACCCATTGGACTTGCTCTGGGTTGAGATTGGATTTTTCTTATCTTCGGTAACCAGGCTACTGAGATGAAGAGTAGTGGAATAAGGCAGTATCCGAAGTCTTTAGCTCGTAGGTCCTTGAAAGTAAAATGATAGAGAAATAATCTGAAGAGAGACGAGTCAGAACTGAACTGAATGAACAGCCACCAACCAACCTTTCATCTCACCATCCAACTCACCAATCAACTCACCATTGAACTTATCAACTCACCGACCAACCAACCAACTAACTTACAAACAAACTAACCAACCAACAAACAACCACTTCACCAACATACCAGCTCACCAAACAAACAGCTCACCAACAAAGCATCTCACCAACATACCAGCTCACCAACCAAACAGCGCACTAACTAACCAGCTCACCAACCAACCAGCTCACCAACCACCCAACTCACCAATCACTAACTAACCAGCTCCCCAACCACCCAGCTCACCAACCAACCAGCTCACTAACTAACCAGCTCACCAACCACCCAGCTCACCAACCAACCAACTCACTAACTAACCAGCTCACCAACCAACCAACTCACCAACCAATTCATCAACCAACTCACAAACACTAGCCATACAACCAAGCTACGAGCCTGTTTACAAAATTCTTGCGTATTGTTGGTACACCGCTTTTGCTGCGTCGTTAAAAGATACTCACATTCGTCACAAAAATCAGAACAGCAAAAGCACCCAGCTGCAGCACTCCGCAGACAATAGACAACGATCTTCTCACAGCGGAGTTCAGCACTTCTCTTTGATGCGACTTCAATGTTTGCCACCATATCGACGCCACGCAAACGCAGGTCATAACGGCAATCAATTCGCTTGCGCTGAGTCGCTCCGATGTTAATGCAACCATTGTGAAGAAAGACAAACCAATAACTTCAAGGAGACTGAATCCAACAGACTGGGGAAACAAAATAATCATAAAATGAATTTCGATTGTGGCTGAGGAAAATGAAGGGCCGGACCCAATGAATGTATTAAGCCTGGTTTCTATTTAGTCGTAACTGTCTTGATGTATGTTATATTTCTGTATTCAAATTGGTCATTAGACTTTCACAAAGCCCTATTCAACTGGCGTCATTTTTTTCTCTCGAAGCTTAAAATACTGTGAGGCGGACTTCGGGCAAATCTACATTTTTGTTTGAACACAGAAATGTTCACGCCAGCAACCTTGACACGTTAACGACACTCATGGCAAAGTGTGGGAAGGAAGGTGGAGACTGGGAGGAAGACATAGTCACTGCTTATAGTTATTAGTCATGTCTTCTAGTCGTGTCTTCAAACCATGACGATCATTGGGGGGGGGGGAATGTTTATTCATATATTCAGTTCTGCCTGACGGATTTCTATTGTAAATTATTGCACTTACATAAGAAATCCGTCGGACTTATGAAAACTGAATATATGAATAAATACCCCCGCTCTAATTATCGTTCTAGTTGCACCACTGCCCGCGTTAAACGTTGCCCGTGGGAGGCGTAAATTCATGCATGTGATAATATGTTCGGGTAGTGCGGGTTGTATTTTTGACGGGGTTACACGTATGGCTTGGGTATTGCTTCCTGTGTTTGAATATATTAAAATTAGATGTTGGCGGCAACATTGCAAAAAAACATGCCGGAAGTGCAACCCACAACCATAAGCGACCATCAAGAATTAGTCAATTTGTTGATTTTATACGTATACTCAAAGCAACAAACCTTGTGCGAATACTTACGAATAAAATGGCTTTTTTCGTAGGCCATGGGCACTTCTTCTTCCCCAAACTACCCCAGGCTGCGGAGACGAGGCAAAGAAATTGTGGTATCATTAAGATCAAAACAAGCATGATGTATCGCCTGCCCCGCTTGGCGCTGTCGTCAACACTACATTTCGCAACAGCCAACAGGGACAGTTTGCTGAACACGCCACAGACTAGGAACAATAAGCTAAGAAAACCAGCCACCGCGCACTTTACATACGGCAGAAAAGGCAATTTCGGTTGCCTCTCGTGATGTCGCTTTAACTTCTCAACTTTTGGCTCAGTCTCGACTGTCAGTTGTTCGCTGTTCCTCCCCTGAATATCAACATTCGACGGCATGGTTCATAGAACACACAAAGTGTTCAAGTATATAACTTTCGAAACGGCCCAAAGTGCGGTAGGAAAAATCAGGAACGATCAACTTCCCGGCTTTAAATGAAATAACGTGCTTTATATTCCAAGTTCTTGTAGGCCATAACAGCGCTTCTTGGAAGTATTAATTCCGATTTTATGCACTTCCTTCGATCTTCATCTACTATACCTATAAAAACCGGAAATCTCGTGATGTTACCATGACCTATGACTATCTGCTGATAGTATTACATGGTAATTAATGACATGGGCCAAAGTGGTCTTTTTCAATCAGTGGCGGAACTACAATCATTTTCAAAAGGGTCGGGACAGGGGCCGGTTGTATCAAGCCCGTTTAGGTGAACAAGTCAAAATTGAATAACACTCTTACAACTCTCTTGAATGAGTCAACTTGAATATTATGCACTGAATGAATATGTAGTTGTAAACAGTAGCTTTGTATTAAGGTCAAAAACATTTTGTTCGCTTGTTGAATAAACGGCTGACTTGCTTTGTATTTTGAACTTATCCACCGTTCAAGCTAAACGGGCTTGATACAACCGGCCCTAGGTAGCCAAATTACTGCTTTACAGCACAAATCCAGATTCCCCGCGCCCCCTTTTCAATGTTGTGTCCCAACTAGACGGACCTTCGGAAACGTGTTTGGATTTGAAAACCAACGTTGATTGGAGGGGGGGGGACTGGGAAGATTTATGGCAATCATCATATAGTAGATTTTAGCTAATAATAGTAAGTGTTCCAACTACTTTTGAGAGTGATTGTAGACCGCTTAATAGAGAGTGTATATTCATATAAATGTTTACATACCGTATTGGAAGAGTCTCTTTCAGCTGAGAAATCATTCGGGCATAAGATGAATAAATGAATATACCTTGGCCCCCCCGTATAGAAGCTTTTAGCTACAGCCCTGCTTTCGACTTTAGTCATTATTCTGAGAGACATGCTTGGGCAAGTGTAGGCTTGAACGCCCTTGGAGCACTCCAGCTCGGCATCTTTATTCCATATGCTTACCTCTTCTCGACTCGAAAGTGCTGGTCGCCAGTTGATTGACGCGCGATTAATCGTTAGCGGTCGAAATGAAATACAAAGTAAAATACAATATCGATTTTATTGATTTGGGTGGAAAATGTTTCCTGTGGTTGTGGACACACAATTTTATTTCTAAGCTTGCGCAAAAATTATGTTAAAACTACACCGTGCGTCGCTACACCTATCCTAACTTGTTCCTCGAGTTCAATGCAACCCCGGAATCTCCCCAGAATCCAGAACTGGGGCCGGTTCAGGATAGTTGATTATTGATAGTGGGTTTTTCAATCGATCCCAAATTGCCCGTTGTTCAGCCGGTATAACCTGGGTTAAACCTTAGTATTCCAAAATCTGGCATTCTGTTTAATAGTGGATTTCTCCAGTAGGAAATTTCCGGGTTTTGTTTGAATTGTTTCTTAAAAGATTCTTTATAAATTGCTATAACCTCGTGATCAAAATTCTTAAAATGTCTGCGATGCGACATATAACTCAGATGTTGGAGAATAGTAAGAACGTGTTTTAACAAACCAACTGCACTGGGGCTTGCATAATCTATGGATAAATTTCTGCATGAACTCTTTAGAAATTTAGAAATTCCCACCGAAAATGGTCAGATAGCTTGAAGAATTTGACAAAGCGACGCGAAAACCACAGTTACCACACAAGAAAATACCTAAACTGCAATTTTTATTAAAGTGGCATTTTACGTTAATCAACTCTTAATTAGCTGTGACATATTCTTAATTAAATTCTAATGAAGTTAAAACTCCTTAAATACCATAACTAAGACGTCGTAACACCGAAGAGGGCAACGCCATAACAATAGTGTCTTAGCATATAATTGCTGTAAAATATATAACAAACGATGTGCCTAACCATAATTGGCGTAATTTATAACCATAACATCATTAACATGCCCCATTTCGTTCCCAGTATTTTCTACCAAAACATGTCTCGCCTCGGAAACTGTCGGAAATGCCATCTCGATGATGGAATTTACTAAGACACCGGGCCGTAGCAACAAGTATATATAGTAAGCGCGTCGGTTTGCAAGGATCAAAAGTCGTTAAAACTATCGAGAAAAGCAAATATTCAGCGCTGCGAATAAAGGAGGAAATACACTAGTATTTTACCGCTGTTCTGTGCTAAGATCGGCAATGAGTGTGTCGCTACGAGCGCCCGATTTCTCGAAGGGAAAGAGCGGTCGACCGAAAAGGCGGGAACTTGGTGAGGAACAAAAACAAGAAATACGCGAGGCTTTCGATTTGTTTGATACGGATAAAGACAAGTCGATTGATTACCACGAGTTGAAGGTAGCAGTGAGATACCAACAAGTTATTGTTATTGCTTCCTATTTGCAATCAATATAATTGATGATAATTAGAATCAAAACGTATGCCAATCAATATATATTTTATCAATATCATTATCCATTATTATGATACATGATAGATATAATCAATATTTGTAGCAACATATTTACCATTGAAAATCAATAAACAATAATTTTGTCACATTTTGATCATGGCAATAGAATTGATTAGGAAATTATTGTATTATCGGTAACAATTAGTCCATTATGTTGACAAGCTATTGCCAATGAAGTGCTGTCATTTTACTTCTGTTATCAGGTGGCGATGAGGGCTCTTGGTTTTGAAGTGAAAAAGGCTGATGTTTTAAAAGTCATGAAAGAATATGACAAAGAAGCGACTGGAAAGATCACATTTGATGATTTTTATGAAGTCAGTAAGTACATGTATTCACTCTTATGTATTATTTCAAATGGTTAAGTATAAGCCTGCCGTTTTAATGTATTTTAACATGGAAATGTGTAATCTTATCATTTCTTTCATAGTGACAGATTGGATGCTTGCTAGAGATCCCCAAGAGGAAATTTTTAAGGCATTTAGACTATTTGATGATGATGACAGTGGAAAAATAAGTTTACGTAACCTTCGTCGTGTAGCAAGAGAACTTGGTGAAACAATGACGGACGAAGAATTGCGAGCAATGATTGATGAATTTGACAAGGATGGAGATGGTGAAAGTAAGTTACAAGACAATACTCTATAACTTTTAGTTCAGGTACAATTATAATTACTCACAATAAATCATTTACAATAAATAAACCTAACAGTCTACCTATTTTTCCTTCTTGCATATTGATGTTATAAACTTTTAATTTCTTTCAGTAAATGAAGAAGAATTCATAGCCATAATGACCGGAGATACATGATCAAGTTTCAGAAAGAAAGATCACCTCTCATGACAAGAGTGTTGCCTTTGCCATACACCTATCCTTATAGCTAATTTTGAAAGAGTATTTTTGAAAACAAAAAACAGTTTTCTATTAAAGTATAATTAGATATTTGTTAATTAATCTATGCTAGGGATGCATCCTGCATTTATTTATAGTCACAAATTCAACAACATCAGTTTAGAAACCTCATTCTTGAAAGCAATTTCTTGTTTTACAAAAAGGAGTATCCCAGGCTAATGAATGGTGTATTCCATTTCTAGTATATATTTAGTTTAGTAGTATTATAACATTATTTCACCTAACAGGCTGTTCATTCATTAATACCCTAGCTGTACATATTTTTAAACAAAATAAAAGCTTTCAAAACAATTTTGATAATGTATGTTACGTATAGTCTAGAACACAGCCTAGTTTAGTAACACTAACAGGACCTTTGTTGAAAATATATCACCTTAAATACAAAAATATTACATTTTACCTCAATTTTCTACCCGAACATAATCATGAGATTGACTTATCTTGAATTGTCAAAACTGCATCAATATATTTTAAGATAACTTTGTCAATCCAAGTTTGTGTGGCACGTTGCAAAAAGCCACCTTCGTAAAATCCAAGATGGCCACCGAACTGTGAAAGCACAAATATAGCCTTGCTGTTTGGTCCTAAAAACAACCAAATATTAAACAGACAAAGTTGTGACAAATTAGGAAAGTACGGTTTCTTTGAATTGCAGTGAAACATATTCAGTACTGTGGGGCATTTTGTTTCTAATTTTCCAAAGATCCAGGAGAGAGGACTGAGAAATCTTTTCCTCAGGAGATTTTCAATTGAGAACGAGAAGAAATTACTGTTTGTTAAATACACAGTATGACAAACCCAAGAAAGACTCGAAAACAATTTACTTATAATTTAAACCCATAAAAGTTTGCAAACGGTCATAAACATGATCTGTATAAACTTTAATTCTAAAACTCAGTAAAAGGTTCCTGACTTGTTAAATGTTTTTCCAACGAATCTTGCTGAGCATAAAAGATTTTCAAATTAATAAAGCTACGGTCATACATACTGCTGACATATTTCTTCGGAGTTTCCAATAATTCTTCAGGTACCAACGGGTCATCTTGGGCATTTACCAGTAACATGGGAATTTCAACCTGAAAGAATGGTATTACAGTGAGCCCTCGTATAAAATGGACATCAAAACACGTCCGAGCATTCTTCAAAAAAAGTACATTACTTTGTCTATATAATTTGAACTGCTGCTGTACTTGTAGTAGTCGTCTACACTCTGATACCCCGCCATTTTTCTAAAAAGGTAAAAATACGGAAATTGTTTCTTAGGGTGTATGGAAGACACAATGCTTCACCTCGCCTAGCCGGGATAACTTGCTCCATGTAAACAAACCCCTAGAGATAAATTTACCAACCTGCCAAAGTGCTCATCAATATCTTTAATCAATGTTGCCTTTAAAACTTTATTTCGCTTGAAGTCCTGGTATGGCGTGCTTGAGCATCCTCCTAGTAGTTCCTGCGCATGGCGTTTTATTACTTTTTTCACCTGTTGCGTGATCAGCCAGTTGTAGCCTCGGCGAAGGCCGTCCCATTCCTCCATAACTGTACAAGCTCTAAATCCGCAGAAAATAGCGGCATGTTTTTTTTGCAAACAATTCTTTTCAAAATCCGTTTATATAAATTTTGTTTTCAAATCAGCCGACATCAAATTTGCTGTGAATCTGGGGCCGGTTGTTCGAAAGGCGTTTAGCTTAAACGGTGGATAAGCCAAAGTTTAAAAATACTCTCATAGATCTTGTGAATGGCTGAACCTGCATCTTATGCATTAAATATGTACTTCCATTGACAATTAAACTATTTACATCGGAATATTTCAGCTCAGTTGTTCAATAAATAGATAATTTGGTTTTACATTTTTAACTTATCCACAGTTTAAGCTAAACGCCTTTCGAACAACCGGCCCCTAGTGCCTAGTGGTAATTTGCCAAGGCATAGTCCTTAGTCAATTCACATAAATTCCACGGCTTTAAGGTGTAAATAAATTGCATTATTGTAATAAATTGCAATATCAAATATATCCGAAGAGGACCCAACTGAGAGGTACACTTACTTCACAATATCGTAGCCCTGGCACACAGAAAGAGCACAAAGGAAATGTTTTTGATGCTCAACATTTTCACCCAAGTACTTCACCAATATGTTTCCTCCCAAGGAAAAGCCAACCCCAAGTAGTTTTGTGTTTGGATAATTGTTTACGGTAAATGTAACTATCGCATCTAGTTCGTGTGTACTGCCTGTGAAAGAAGTGACACAAAACTCATAAGATTGTCGTTTCAAAACAATCTCATCCCTTTTTCACCGAAATTCTCATGGGTTATGAAAGGTACTCAGAATACACAATCCTTCTGCAATTCAAAAATTCATTTTGGTGCCGTATTGTATGCGCTTTGATTTTTCATTGTTAAACGAAATCTTCAGAAGTCCTATAAATCTCTGCACTGCACGAAGAAGTTACAGCCTCAACTTCTTATCAACTGACAAATCGCATCCCAAACGTCAACTGGAATTACGATTAAACACGAAAAACTAACCATAAGTAAAAATTCTTTTTGAAGTCAACTTCACACCAGGCAGGACTCCAAGATGATTGAGAACAACTACACGATACCCCAGCCTGGTCGCATATTGACATAGGGACAAAACGTAGGCTCCATTGCTATCGTTCGCTATACCGGGTACCACGACAATTGTGTAATCATTTCTGAACTAAAACATTAAGACATCGCTGTCATTTACAGCAGTCTCCTTTCCACTTGCACAATTTTATTGTTTAGTATAACTTAGACGGTAACGTTAAATCATTTAGCAAGTCATTGTAAAACGCAGAATAGAACTGAAAACGAGGTTGCAGTTCCTCCAGGAATTATATAGTTCAGTGGGCACATCTGTTGTGTGTTAATGCCATATAGCATAGTGGTAACCAGAGATTAGAAAAAACAGCATAGATGACAGTTTAGTTGGTTCTAGCACGGTGTAAAAGAATAGGTACGCAATAGCGTACAAACTTTGCTAATTCATCTTATATGAGGAGTGAATCAATTCATCAGGTTACAACTGTTAAGTATAAGCTGTACAACAAAGCTAAACCTGGTTACTGAGGAACTTGGCACAAGTAAATTGATAGAGATGGCTCTTTTGAATAATGATGCACTAGCTTGTATTTAACAACATGGTTACATTGTTCATTGCAAAATACTCCTTATGTTTTTGTGATCCTGACAACTAGACTATCTCACTCTGAGGATTTCCTTGCCGGCACACTCAGGATGCATTACCAGCAGTAGAGCACAAACAACTTTATTTTACATTAATATGGTAGAATAAAATCACTACCTTCTCTTACATCCCTGACTTCACTCGCACTAATATTTCCTACACTTCAACCCATACTTATAATACCAAATAAAATTCCAGCATTGCCCAGAGCCTTGCCTTAATTCCTGCTTATCCTTGATCACTTGTTACATACCTTAGACTTCTCATCTGAACATGGTTCAAATATATCAAATATCACAGTTGAATTGTCCTCCAACTTAACACTATGCTGGTGACGTTTTGCTTTGCATTCGATTTTGGGACTGAACTTGGAGAATACCAATGTGTGCAAGTGGCCATTTTTCCCCCAAAGTAAGGGAGGAATGTATCTAAATTCAGACATGTATGATCAGAATGCTACAACAAATATGACCTGATCGAAACAATTTTGGAAACAAGTCTCATTTTAAATGTACATAATTTATGCACTATAAAACTTGAATTTTATTTCCACTAAGTGACTTCGATTATATTTGACAACCCGTTACATTTAAAGTCATAAATGGATTTTGTACTATGGACCTACATCATGTGACGATGTGCTAGAAGTTAAGTTTACGTTTTGAATTAAAGTTAGTTAAGTCTGGATTACATGTGGCGTTAAAGCTTGAGGACTATAAACGAATTATTATTGAAGCAACACAACACACAAACGCTAACCTCTCTCGCAAAATTGGACATAATTGGACGATCTGTTCAACAAAGTCTCGATGTTTCCCCTTTCCAAAAAACAACGTCGGTGGTTTTGCCGGTACGACAAGATTTAATATCTTTAGAATGGCATAAAGGACAACTACGATCAAGAATAATAACACCGATAAATCGCTCATATTATCGAAAGCAAAAAGACAGCAAACAGCGAAATATTGAAGGACGTAGTAAATTATTAATGACATTAAGTATTGTTATATGTTGGGATTAGGGAGCGGGATGTAAATTATATGTTAATATGTTATATATATGATAGATAGGCGTGGCTAATTTGCAACCGGGGGGGATTGAACCTGCTGCTTAGAATGTACCTAAATTCTATTAGGAATTTTATGTTCCTAAAAATCAAGTTACGTTTAAAGTGCAATTAGAACTTTTTGCAAGCGTTCTTCCAAAATCATTGATAAAAATGTTTTGCATTTTGTTTTGAAATTTGAGCTAGGCACAAAAAAAAATGGTAAACCTGAACAGCAACGAGTGACCCGTAAAAACTTGATACAATAAATTGTAGAGGGGAAAATGTTAGTTTAGCACGGCATACTGTGAAAAAAAGCTAATTTTCTCCAATTTTTGAAATTCATTCCTAATCATTTTACAATATTTTTTTGGACTGCGCTTGCAAAAACGGCCTGGTGCGAGCTGTTGCCATAGTAACAATTTGCCATTTTGTTTTTCTTTTTCATTCATTTATCTTGTTCATCTTTTCAAGAAAGGCCAATGTTCAACATGCCCGCCACAGATGAACCCATTTATTGTTCGCAACAGATCAATATACCGCCAGAATTGCCCGATATTTTAAAGCAGTTCACGAAAGCGGCGATCCGGACGCAACCAAGCGATGTTTTAGAATGGTCTGCTGCGTAAGTTGTCCGCATTATGTCCGTTAAAAATTTTAAAAGTGATTTTCGTTTATATTATAACGTGCATGAAAAATGTTTAGCCTACTTTTAATTTTCCAACTAGTAATCTAGAAAAGGATTTAACTGCAGATATAACGTAAAGATAAATGTAGATAAATGTATTATGAAAATTAGGAACAAGAATGGTTAATAATTGGCTAAAATATTAATATTTACTTTACCTTTTAGTTATTTTGAAGCCTTATCAAAAGGGGAACCACTTCCAGTAAAAGATCGTCTTGAAGTGCCTATTGGCGCTGCCCTTGAAAGGCCAGTCACAAAGGGTTTTATAGAAGTATTGCACAAACAGGTATTGCAAATTCAGGCATATTCTCTGCACATGCCCCATTTAAGTTCTCCAAACTTTTCCTCATTGGAAAAAAACTGGGCATTCATCCAAGTTGTGACAAAAATGATTTACCATTGTTACAGCTTGGTTCTAAACCAGTAATCGAACGGTCATCATTGGAAGAGAAATGGAGGCATTTATCGTTACCAGATGACACATTGTACAATATTTTAAGGTACGGCAAACTAGCTGGTAAAGCACCATTATTACCACTTCAGTCTGACATCTGTGCTCATGACAATTAATCATTTAGATTGGGCAGTTTTGCAGAAGAAATAACATGGCTACATTTCCTTTCACTTGCATCAGTGACAATTAGTGAGGTAAACAGGAGTTAGTATATATATATTAACCCACATTTATTGCATGGAAAGTGAAATTATGGACAACTACTACATAAAAATTTTACCACTTCAACAATTTTTAGAACCTTACAGAGGCAATGAAAACTGTTTGTGAAATTCTAACAACAGACTTGGAAGGTGGTGCGAGTAGGATTGATTTCAAAGTCTTCAAAGAACTGTACACATACCTTGCAATGATTGATGGTGAAATTCCAACGGAGCATGTAAATAATGTCTTGGAACATCTGCAATATGATGTGTAAGTAAACGTGTTTCTTTGAAGATTTCCATTTAACTATTTTGTGTATGGTCTATGGGCAAAACAAAAACTTCTAATGTTATTCACTGTTATCCTTTTCTGGCTTTTTTAGCGAAAAACAAAATGGTTTGATTTCACCAGAAAACTTCATGCATGAGTCATGTCCTCCTTTAGCTTCACAGATCTAACAAACATTTATACAGTGAGTGACATTGTAGTGTGTAGCCATTCACCTGGCTGTGTGGATATGTTAATGAATGTAAATAGACTATATGTCTCAAGACATTAATGTTGTTTAACTTGTTTTATAGTTCTTACTGTTAATTTAAGACCATTCTTTTGAATTATTGTAAATACAGGCAGTAGTTTATAATCATTCTCCAGCAGTCTGGCACAAAGATCTATCCTCAGTATAAACAACTGTAATGAAGCACATCCTTGGTGCAATATCTAGCAAACACCTGCATCATGTTGGGCTGCCATAGGATTCTGGTTGATTAAAAAGGTTGTTAAAAATGTCAGTGTATGTTATCTTCTAAATGATAGAAATATTTTTGTTTGTTAAGAAATTCATTTGAGCAGTAAGTTTAAATAAATTACAAATTTTTATTCCTAAAATTGCTGTACAAAGTTACAAAAATATACAATGATTGTAAAAACACTTCTGAACAAATTGTTTTAAAATTCAAGAATTTCATAAGTCAAACACCACTTACAAAATAGCTCAGCTTTAAAGGGGGTTACAGTATGTATGTAAATAAATACATTTCAAATTGCTATATATTTCTCAGCTATAATCCTCTCTGCTTGGCTATTTTATATATGATACCTGACCAGTACATGTTAATATATACAATATGATATGATTTTATTAATGTGGTTTAAGATCTTACAATCTAAGATTACGTTAGCTTGATGAAACAGAGAGCTTTTCTACACCTGATTTTTCTCTTTTCCCATCCAATTTTTGGCATCTCGATTTTTTCATCTCCGTCTCAAGTGTGCTGATGAATACTTGTGGAAACTGCGAACAAAGTTCGCTTACAGCTGAATCAGGAACTTTATCACATCTAAACAAACCTTAAAAAAATGAAAAAAACAATTCAAATTGCCAATTGCTTAAAAAATTGTAATGATATTGGTAGATAATTGTGATACTTATTCCTTCCTTTAATATCTTTTACCTAAATGTTTAAGTTTTGGGCAACCATTAAGCACTTTTCTAGCACCATCTGCCGTAACACCATGACACCAGCTTACATCAAGATGCACAATATCTTGAGAGTAAACACTTAAATGGAGGAGACCTATACATAATAGCAAACAAGAAAACAATTGTTGTGCAGGAAAAACAGAAATTGAGCATTAAAACACAACCATAGGTAAGCAAATACCTTCATCTGTTATTTTATTATTCACCAAGAACAAATGTTTAATATCTTTACAATGCAATGCAATCTCTTTCACCGATGCATCAGTCAGTTCAAAGCAAAGTCCAAGATTCAAAGTTTGCAGTTTTTTCAAAGCGTTTACAATTTCACAAAGATGATCATCCTCTAACTTTGCCCCACGTACGTCTAAATACAAAATGTCTGCGCCATATTCTGCAATGTGGTAAGCACTTTGGCCCGAAAGACTGCACATTGGAAGCCTTAAAGTCTGCAATTGCTGACAACCGGGCAGAAGTGCCCCAACACCTTGGTCAGTTATATTTGCAATGCTTGTTGCAGATATATATTTCAACATAGCAGAGTGATGGCCAAGATGCACAAGCGATTCATTTGTCAACTTTGAACATTGGTCTATCACTAATTCCTCCAACTTTGGGCATCCTTCACAAACCTATGCAGATTGAAAAAATAATATCTAAAAAAATGTAAACTTGATTCTGCGGTACAAATGAAAAACAAAGTTTGCGAGCACATATATCTTGGACTAGTTTATATTTTACTTTGCTCTATGCAATACATCACCTTTCGTATGCCTTCATCTGTGAAATTCAGTGACAATGTAACATCCAATTTCCTCAGCTGATGACAGCACTCTCCCAAGGCTGCCAAAACATCATCCGACATTGTCCGACATTGAAGTGAATACTGCACTCAGTTAATGATGAACACCGTTTTATGGCACAGCAAGTGCCTGGGTCTGTTAACATGTCACAGCGACATATCCTCAATGTAACCACATTACTACTGAATGATGCCAACCGTATAAGGTCATCATCGGATATAGAACAGTATTTTTCCAAGTCAAGGTCTCGCCACAAGCTTGGATCTCTGCAAGCTTTCAGCCAAAGCTTGTTCACCAAACAAAGCCGACACAACTCATTTGTCTTAAGGAACTTTAAAATACTAAGGAATACCATCCAAGGAAGCCTTGAGAAATCAAATGAACCATTTTCTGTGTGGTTATAAAAGGTAACCTCTTGCCCATATTCTGGCAAAGACATAACCTTCATTTCTTTATCTACATTTCCCTCTTGCATGCCTACATTTAAAATAATAATTAGAATTCAATTATGAAGTAAAACGTCTTAAAAAATACTTGAAAATACACAGTAAACATTATAATCACCTTTCCTCTTTAATTAGATGCCTCAGCCCTCACTGATATATTGTTAAAATTATTTCCGGGTTCTCCAAATTCGCGGCTCCACTGGACGCTGTGATTGGTCAAATTCTCTATAGAAGCATGCCAGTGGAGCATGCTAGAATCAATCAGAAATATTATACCAAATACAATAATTCTCCCCCCGGTAGAAATATAACCTGGTTGGAGTTTTTATTGTAGAAAGCCATTAAATGCGGGGGGAGAGTATATTTTCCGGCAACGCTCGTTTCGAGATTCGAAAGAAAATTTCAACATGGAGGCTTATCGAGGAGCGAGTTGTTTAGGAAAATTTTTAATCGGTAATAATGTTCTGAACAGGCGCCTCATAACTCATTTATATAATGTTCTTGGAGGAGGTTTTTCCAAGGTAGAATTTTCTTTTTACCCTCCATTTTGTTCTGTTCCCTATAAAAGTATTAAACAAACCTTTATACCCAGAACTCTAGAAGTCTTCAATATAAAGCGATTTAATAGATACACTTTACAAATACTGACATCGCATATTAGGATAGGTTTTTATACGATTTATCTTCAGTTTGAACAGAAAGGTTTACATTTATTAACTTTTCATTTACCAGCAAGTGATGCCCAATCAATCTCGTTCAATTACATTGCTGACAAAGTTCAATGTCGTGGACAACAGTAAGCAAGGTCAACGGTCAAAGAGATACAAAAAAGCATATGCCATCGGTTTCTTTAAAAATAACAAGCGACAAACTGCTAACATTGGCGACGTCATCAAAGTCGCTGTGCGTGGTCAGGCATGCAATGCGCTTATTGTAGGGTCAAGAAAACCAAAAGGCAATAACATGGTACCAAGATATGACAATAATAATGTTGTATTGCTTGACGAAAACTTGGCACCACTTGGAACTAGAATCCGCGGACCCATACCAAATATACTACGGAAGCAAAGAGACAAATATTCAAAGGTCTTAGCTATTGCATCAAAGTTTACATGAGATATTGAATATTCAGAATTACTGTCAAAAGATGGTTTCAGAGTACAAACCAAATTGTAAAAATTCAAAGAAAACATGATAAAAGAAGAACAATGCTGGGCAGAGAATTTATTGATATGATGATAAATAATAAAAAGAAAATCAGAAGTTAATAGTAGTAACTTATCACTCTGCAATATCTGTTTTAAGGTTTTTGGAGTTCATGCTTAAAACCGAGTTTATTAGAAAATAAAGTCTTTGGTCTTGTACAATTTGTCTTGTCTTTTTGTTGTATGGAAATTTGTTTGCTCTTTACTAAATACAGTGTTTTTGCAATAGTGAATAACTCTATGCAGTTGGTTAGAGCATAAAACTCCTTGATGTTGCAATTTGTTCAAATGCAGCTGTGTGCAATTATAGTTTACCACACATGCTCTATGTTGGGCAGTTGTAGATAATGATGGATTTGTCATCAGATACAGAGACAACTTTTGTGCCACTTTGGTTGTATTTCACACCCCAAACCTGGGAAAATACAGTAATGCATGTTTTAACCATTGCAATTGCCTTTATTCATAAATTCTGAAATTTGTTTCTCCACATACCTGATCAGAATGTTCGTGAAATGTGTGAAGACATTGTCTTGATCCAGCATCCCATATTTTCACGGTCTTGTCACTAGAACTGAAATGTAGATATTGGAATGAATAAAACTTTGCATCGCTTTTTGATCTTTGTATAAAGGTGGCAAAAAGATAGTTGATTGATATACCATTACCTTGATGCAAAGTGTGAATTATCTGGTGAAAAAGCAACACTAAGGACCCATGATCCATGGCCGGACAATGTACCTGCGAGATTTGCATGCTGCCTGTTTGTCAGAAAAAGAAGTAGAAAAGAGAAAAACATACAAAAAAATGATCATTCAAATCTGTTGATAACATTGAGTACTTTCATTTAGCATTGAAATGTTAACTTGCATTCTCAGCATGAATTTTGTACATTCTAGAAAATAATATTAGCAATTTCTAAAGAAGGAGATTGCTAATAATACGAGTGTTGGATAGATGATGTTAAAGATGTTATCTGAGATGTAGGTATATAAAAATAAAGTAGAACCGACAGGATTAAGAGAGCCTAATGAATGGTACACGTCGTACATCTTGATGTGATTGTCGTCTGAAGCAGTGATCAAGAGTTGTGAGTCAGGAGAGAATGTCAATGATCTGATTGGCATAGCATGACCTAGAAACAAATGAAAGCTTGAACATTTCTCTTTAGAAACTGCAAAAAAATATCCATTTATTAAAAATCATTGTTACTAATTATTATCAAGCACTTTCTTATTATCTTTTTCTACCAACCTTCTAATGTGTGCACCAATTTCCCAGTTGCAATATCAAATATATTAATAATTCCATCAATAGCACCACATGCTATATGTTTCCCATCTGGACTCTAGTATTTTTTAATTAGAATTTAAATTTATTTGAACAATATATTTTGACAAGAATGCAAACATTTGTTAGTTGTACAAAAACAGAAATATATTGTAGTGTATTTTCTCTTACATAAGCAATGCTCATGATAAATTTCCCTCTTGTATCCAAAACACTTTCCTTCTTTCCACTTTCAACTCCAATGATGTTAATCTTTCCTGAATGAGTTCCTGTTGCTATAAACTTGCCATCTGGGGAAAAGCTCACAGTCCATGTATCCACTATTCAACAAAACGTTTAAAGAAATTTCACATCTAAGACAGCCACAAAAGGGAGCTTTAGCAGTGACTACGAGTATGAGATTTATCATTCTCAAGTGCTGTTTACTTACACCATCAGTCAAAACTCATAGTCGCCGAGCTTATAAATTTCGTACTCAAAAGGCAACAACTACCTGTTTTGGGTGATGGCATATAATCAGACGTATGAGAATGATGCATCTCGTACTTGTTGTCGTACTCGCAGTCACTGCTACAGCTCTCTACTATTACTACTTACCTGGACCACAGTCAACAGATTTGATCTGTTTGCCATTCTCAAGATCCCACAGTCTGATATGACTGTCCATTGAGCTGGAGGCTGCCACTACATTAAAACTTAACAATTAGGTATCTGCATGGCCACATAAGTTTTAGCCCTGAGAATTTAATGATTTGATTTGCCAAATAAAGTATTTAAGGAAGCTCTGAAATGCTGTTAAAATGAATTACCAGAACTTATAAATAACTTCATTTTGTTATAAATGTTTGTTCTCCATATGAACACAAAAATTTGCATATAAATATAATTGCAAGGCTCTGTAAATTACATACCCGTGCCAGTGGCATTGATATCAACTGAAACTATTCCAAGTTGGTGTCCCTCAAAGTTATATTTCAGTTCTAATTGCTCATTATTCCTAAATATGATAAAAATGAGTGTTCCTGCTACTGTAGATCTAATAATTTCTTCTAGATGCATGCAAGTAACTTGCCAGTATACTAGTAGAATATCTACCATTTCCAGCATTTCACCAGATCATCAACTGCACCAGTAAGAATACTGTCAACATTTTCTTCATTTGTTGTCCAAGATACACACCAGATGCTCTCCTCGTGTGCTACAAAGTAAAAAGCAATGACAATAGTTTAGTCATGTTTTCAAAGTGCCTTTTTAACTTCATGGGAACAATTCATTGATCTTACCATCTTTTTCATTGTGCGCCACATTGAACTATACAAACAAGAGAGAACTTCATCAGAGATGTGTACCAGCTGTTGATTGCCCTATAATTTTGCCCCCCAAATCCCCACCACCCTCTTTTATATTCAGTACAAGACCATGCATCTGGCGTTTCTTACTAATAACTAGCTTGCAATGCACCAAGGTGTGCCGTACCATACAACTTACTCTGTTTTATTCCAGATGATTTTACTCACCAGAGGAGAAGTACTACCAGTTAATAAGTTAATAATAAATAACCACACTTTGTACAGTAGAAAGTAAAAGTAGCAATTGATCCGAATATAACATACCATATTTACGCTTTTATTCACAGCCCAACATCAACTAAGAAAGAGCTATCCAGTAAACTATCCTTTTTAATTACTACGTACTGTGGACGGAAAAATAAAAGTAAGAAAAGTATATTTTGTTGTATTTTGTAGTTGCTGTTTTGAAAACTTCTGCAAAATTCTACAATAATGTAAACATAAATTTGATTGGCTAGGAATCCCCGTTAAACCAATCACAATTCGTGTAATATGCGGAAAATATCCAATATACTTTACGACCGCAATGTTTCCTGGGCCTTCTTCTCCAAAGCAAATTTTAGAGAATTTTTCAAAATGTCGGCTCTTTCAAGGGGAGTTTTTCTTGCCCGTTCTGCGACTCGTTATCGCGCTGCAGGCCGTCAATTAGTTCGTGGAGATATGGAGAATGCACCGGGGCAGGTGAATAGAATTTTTGGAACTTTAATAGCTAAAACAAGAGAAGAGTTTAGCCACTTCTGTGATGACTGATGATACTGTGAAACTTTCATACTTATTTGAGGTGTTATTTATGAGATTACGAGGACTTTTATTCTCTTAAAAATATAAATTGCCTTCTTAAAGCAATGTAAAATAAGCTAGACTCATCGAGGATAATGTTTATAATTTATTAAAGTAAAATATTGTACTGCCAATTATTAAATATTGTCAGTTGCATGCAAGATGAACAGTCAGTGGGGCTAATCAATAAGATAGTTAATCAACTAATCAGGATGAGTTGCATAGCAAGCATGTTCATTGTCTCCAGAAAGTAATTGTTGCCTTCACAATGCTTTCAAAAACAGTCAAGATTTCATTTTACATTTGCAGAATATGCCATTTCAAATGAAGAACAAACCAAGACTGCTAGCAACAATGATACTTTTCCTTGGTACTGGCTTTAGCATTCCATTCATTGGTGTTCGATTTCAGATGGCCAAGAATAACAGTGCTGCTGCTTAATGAAACACATTGAACTGAACACTCTAAAATTAGTGGCCTCGTTTTGGCTAGGATTTAAGCAAAGCTGGATATTTGTTATTATAAGATATTTGTTATTATATAGAAATTGAATAAACAGTTTATTTTCTGTTGTTTATTTTTTTGTTATGCCTGTTGTGAAACACTGTTTTCCTGATGATGCATTTAGAGTTAATTTTTAACGAATGATTTGTCCAGATCTGAACCCAAATGACCTGACAGAAATCACAATACCTTTAAATACCACACAATCTGATACCTTTAAATATTTCATACCACTACCCATGGTAATAATAATATTATTTTATAGCTATCTATGAATAAAGCTCCAAATGTTCCATCAAGTATGACAATATTTATACAAAATTGTGAGTAACAGCTGTTCTCAAAGCACATTGCAATTGAAAATATTCAAGTTTGGTTGAATTTTTTCATCTTTCTATAATAATATTTCTATCCGTGCTATTCTTTTGTGCCACAAGGGCTTCCCCATTTTCCAAGGAAAAATTTACAAAGGCTTATTTTTATATAAATACCATTTCCAGTGACAATGTACTTTGAAACCTAAGAGTCATGAATGGGTTTGTACTGTTTGCGCGTAATTTACTCCCGCCAATTGTATTGCGACAGAAATGGAGCTAGAGTTTAGGCAAGTTCGACATTTTGACAACATGCAATGTTGTCTTAAATTTAATTCTGAAATTTCGACCCGGCCTTTTTTGGTTCATCAATAGAATTTCTTCGCCGCCGCCTCTTTCTGACTTTTGTACGTGAAATATGAAATAAGAGCGACCATTTGTATAACTACGAGAAACACAAAATAGCCAGGTCCTATACAGTTTGGTTTTTCTACGACGGGACATCCTTTATCAGCGTTATCTTTCCCTGGCTCCTTGCCTGCAAACTATAAATGAATCCAGACATAAAGGTTTTAGAATATTGTGTATAAAATGCTACATATTCGAACATTTTTATTTACTTTTTAGGCGAAAATAAACTCTTTGTTTCGTTTTTTCGTTTCAATTACCAGTTTGAATGAAAAGACGAAACAATACAATTTTATTATGGCAGGGTTTTGTGGGTTTATAAACATGGATTTTTTCACGCGAATTTTTGTCTTCCTTTTCACTTCAGCAAGTTTTGTGGGACAGAATTAAAAAAGATACCCGATTCAAAGGTTCTGTTGTCCGGCCTACCTGTTGTTTGGTAACCAAATGGTTAACATTTTCCATCATAATTTCCATGGTATTTCTTAAACTATTAATTTCGCTAGCTGTGTTACCAGCATCGTCGCCAACGTCCCGTTTCACGACGCCGCCATTTAGACCACGAACTAGATTTCTAAACATAACATGATACCAGACATGGTGACTTTCAACGAAGATAGCGGCATTCACAAAGAACTAAAACGAGTGACTTACTTTACTTCTTCCATGCTGCTGGTCAGCTGATTTTGAAGATTTATGATACTGTTTACTTCCTGTCTTGTGACAGAATCCTTCCCTCCTCCACCACCAACATTGTCTTGGGACATGATTCTTTGCAATTCGTTCACCTGGGTTGTCAACTCGCCCGTTTTCTTGTGCAAATTACTGAAACATCAAGAAGTTGAAACACGTTAAGTTAAACTAACAAAGAGGAAAAACTTCTTCTTCTTCTTCTTCAAAGAAAATATTTGTTCTGGTATATAGCTAACTGATACGTACTTGACAATATGATGGACGGCATTCTGACCCTCGTAAATCAGTTTAAGGTCACGATCATATGAAGTTTCATACTAAAATAAAGAAGATCAATCAAATTATGCAGCTTTTTTCCCGCCATTAACCATTTTGTCGCGCCACCTTTTCCCGCCGTCGCGTCATTTTGTCGGCGCCATCTTGTCGGGCCTTCTTGCCGCCCGAACTTTTTTCGCGCTTTTTTCAGGTTTTACGGCGTCGTTAATGAGGCTGGTTTTTTGTTCTTTTTTAGTTTTTTATTCGTTTTAAAGATTAGTTAAACGAAAAAATATAAGCGCATTCTATAGTTACTACAGTTGAACTGAACATTACAGGTCTGTTGTTAAGTAATACCTGTGATTCCGGACTGGGCTGCGTTGGATGAGCTTTTGCGTACCTTAAAATGAATAGAAAAACATTATGACAGTCGGAATTAAACGTAAACCCCGTTTACACTACACTGAAGCCCCGTTTACACTACACTCGATTTATTGGCACGCACGGCTAAAATGGGTTACCGTGCCCATTTCATCTGTGCTCGGCCTTTGTTTTGGTAACCTGAATACTAATAAAACTGGGTACGGGTACCAATTTTAGCCGTGCCGTGCCTATAAATTGAGTGTAGTGTAAACGGGGCTTGAATTTATTGGCACGGCTAAAATGGGGGTACCCCCGTGCCCAATTTTATTAGTGCTCAGGCTACCAAAACAAAAGCCGGGCACAGATGAAATCGGCACGGGTACCCATTTTGCTCGTGCCGTGCCAATAAATCGAGGGTTAGTGTCAACGGGGCTATACTGTCTATATCTCACCATTAAAACATTGAAAGGTGTCCTCAAAGGGATAGCAATTATTTAGGCCATAGTGCAGTTTCAAAATTGTTATTACCAATGAAAACTTAACACATTTCATGTCAAGACGTTGAAATGTGTGATTTTTGCAGCAATCCAAAAATTCTCAATGTTTAAGTTTAATTTATTAATATTTAATAATTTATTTATTTTAACAGTTTAATAATTTGAACCGTTTAAAAAAAACCTTTAATAACAATTTTTTAAGCGTGCTATCTATAGCCTTAATAAATATCTTCGACTTTTTTAGGGACACCCTATAAATCAGAAGATCTCGGAAAACCTACTCGTCCTTTTCTTTCTGGAATTTCTCTGTCATTTGATCATATTGTTCTGAAAGTTTCTTCATTTCATCTTCTGACATTTTCTTCTTCTTTGAACGAAAGACACGTGTTAAGCTTACAGCCTACTTGAAGTGCATGTGAAGCCATGTTTAAAAATTACTTACCACATCAGAAGGTGATGTAATACTGTGAGTTATAAACGATATGACATCGTGATCATCTGAAAAATAACATTTTTACACATGAAATTTTCTCCCTAGGGGGGGGAGAACAAAGAACACCTGTTGCACACACTCCAGAAATTAGTAATGGAGGTGGTCAATCACAGACCTGCAAGGCCACCAGTAGCAGCAGAGAGACCAAACACCCCTGTCTTCGGTAATTTGACATCTTCTACTCTTGTACAGAGTTCATACTCTGCTTTTTCTGCCATGCCTTGATGGAACCACACCTTTTAAAGCACACCAATAAAAATCATTGTTGTGCTATTCACAAGCAAAGGATGCAACTTTCAAACATGTATTCACATGAGGGTACAAGAGTTTTAAACATGTTTTACATACTGTTAGAACATTTTCATAATAGCGGGCTCTTATTTTAACAGGATAAGGACGATTTCTGAAATTTCTTAAGCATCCACCTTGTGCTTGGTTGTTACCATCACTATATAGAAACAGAATTAAAAACCAGAAATAATAAGCTGGTAAGATTGGTTGTTTAATTAGAAAGGTTTTCAGCAAGATTGTCCACACAGTAGTAGGCACAAAATACACTAAGATGGTCCCTGTATGTGACCCCACCTCTGATGGTCATAAACCATGCTACCATCATTGACCATGATTGATATAAATGGGTTATTATTTTGTCCATCATTATCAAAGGAATCCAGCAAGATCCCTAGGCCATTCCAGGGACTGTTACTGCCAAACACAGAACCTTCTTGGCCCGGAACTTCAGTGAACCAAATTGCCTAAAAATGGAGGTACATTGTGGGATTAATAGGCTCCCAGATAAATTTTAACCACGACTTGTGTATAGCTCAAGACCCACCATTCCATCGGCACCAACACGACCCTGGCCTGACACCTTTAGAGTAACTTCAATTTCAAATGACTCTGCAGAGTATTGATTTTTGGTCCACATGTATCCTTTGAAATAAAAATAAAGAAACTTTGTTTGGTTTACGCATTAAAAGGTTTCAGTTTGGAACAGTGATTATAAACATAAAGTCTTTCACATCCCGGGTAGTAGCATATATAAAACGTTTTCCAAAATTTTCGGTTTTACCAACAATGGGCTTTTGGGATATGTTGCTCTGGCAATTAAAAAGGAGAGCAGCTATACTTGCAGGTGATATGCCTGTTAAAAGTCTTAAGTTGGAAGAATACAACCCAGAAAAGTGAAAATAAGTTAAGCTAAGCTAATCCAGCCACTACTATTCGAAGTTTCAATTGTAAACACATAAATACTTTTACTAAGCTTTAGGAAAACTTGGCAACTGCATATTAATTAATGAAAAATGTGGCAATTATTAATATTTATGTTCCATTAACGATCAAATGTAACAACATTAAACAAACAATTTTAGAAATCGTGGATCGTTTGCAGATCCATGTAATATTCGATACTGGCTTAAAACGAGAATAGGTATTTTACATCATCCAAACTTCTAAGTACCCGGTAATCCGAGACAATGTAATTCTATTAATATTGTTCTGTTCGACCCAAAAATATCAAATTGGCTATTTACATGCAAGTGCAACGTCAGACCAAGAGTTGGTAGTCATGTACAAACCTTTTTTATCCCTCAAAGACGGCGTTATTCTGACTTGATCGCTGCTAGGAATAGCACCTGTAGTGGAAATATAGCATTGATGATTTAGAGGAACAACAACGTTTAAGAGGACACCGCAGAACAGAACTATACGAAAATATGTGTACAATATGCTATAGTACTTACTTCCACCCACTGTCCAAAACGGCACTTGCCCATCCTTATTAACAAGATGCGGGCCCTTAAAACTAAATTTGTATTCAAAACGATTTACGCGTTGGCTATCATCCGCTAAATATTCAAAAAAACTACAAATAAAAACAAGAACCCCTAGCATCCAGCTGACCGCCATCTTGAAATTGAATGAACAATCAGCTTGAGACAAAAGCATCGTGGGAAAAGGGAAATTTGTCAAAATTTGATTGGCTAAAAACCGTCGGTGGTTTTCCCGGAGTCTGGCACTGACTGGTAAATTGTTGGCCTACACCTGGACTACCCAGCTTTCCCCTAGAACCTTTATTCCAACCAGGACTCAACCTTTTTCATGACCTTCATTCAACCTTTTCCCTTTCCATCCCAAAGCGGTATATTTCCTTAAAGGTATGTATGGTGGGTGTGTCCAGCTGCGGCTTCTCACTCGACGATTTTAAGTGTTTTTTGTTATATGAACCTTTTTTGTAACACTGATATAGTTTGAGTGGCTCACGATCGTGAGTTTTGCGAAGCCAATCAAACTTTTTGTCACATCGTAATTTTATTACGAAAGTCTTACGGCACTGAGTTTCGTCTTAGTCCACCCTCCAAAACCTGCCACTGGGAGTACTAGGGAGGCAGGGACGTCGGAAAATAGGGGCACTCCTTGCCTTTTACTTTCCAACAAAAGGGACTGAAGAGGGCAAAACGTTTTCTAATTTATAGGGATTGGTGTTCGTTAGCTTATCTGCTTACTTGGCGGATTTTTACTGTGCTGTAAATATTAAAACTCGAGCAATTGAGTATTAATATTTGTATTCAGACAATCCTTACATCAGATTATCGACCACTTTTATTCACCGTAGGACATTACACTGTTTTTAGAAGTTGTTTTTCATCATCACATATGGTGCAGCCATGCAGGCCATATTGACTTCGACTGTTCGACATTCATTGATAAAATAGACTTGGGTGAAAGGTAAAATAGATCACAGAGAGAATGATAAATTTGCACTCGTTTTATTCTCCACTAACTCCACATATACATCCATGGTTAGTTTGGTTATTAGCAGTGATTAAGATAAATATATACCAATTGTTAGCTAAAAAGACGCACGCCGTTTGTTAAACTGATGCGTCTCTTGTGAGTTACATATAAGCAGTTAAATAAAGTAGCTTTTCCATCTGTCAACACTTTTATCTTTGCGCTATGAATATTGATGCAGAGTATATATTGACATAATTGTCATTTGAATGTATAATACGATTAATATAATATATATGTATAACACCATAGAGGTACCTGTACATAACATTGCAAGCAAATCATTCGGGCCCTTCTTTTCACATTAAACTTATATAAAACGACTAGGATTAAATAGAACTTTCCAATTTTAGTATGAGGGCACACTAGAACGCCAGTTAGGCAATGATCAGTGATTAGATACAATATGCATACCGTGGTTACTATATGTAACCAAAAGACGTAGTGTTTTTCTATACCATAGTAATATCATGAATGTTCTTGTGTTTTTACCACATCGTCATCGCTCTCCTTAATCAGCGACAAGTCTAGCCTGGGTCCAGGCGTTTCGGATGATCTTCTCCACCTTTGGCGCTTCGGGGTGTTTAAGGATATGGGGAGCAAACGCACCATCGGGAGGGGAATCATCTCCGGCGGGGCGATGCGATCCACCGCTATCCTTGTCCTCCGAGTATATCTCGAGAATCTTGGCTCGCCAGCAACAACAGAATCGAGTTTCTTTCAGCTCAAGATCTTTTAGGAAACGGTAGTCAATATACTCTTGGTTTACTACATGAAGAAATGAAAAAACATTGAAATAAAAATGAAAATACAAAGTTTCCCGTGATTAAAGGCATGATTTTTTGTCAATTTTATGCCCTGAACAAACCTGTTCCACAACAGAAACAACAGGACGGTTCATCCTTGTAGAAGATTCCCTGACCAGTCACTCTCCATTTCGTTGGACCATAGAAGAACTCAGGACAGCAAAGTTCTGTGCAGTTCCTCTTGTAAGGGCAGCCATCTGCGGGTGTCTGGCCCGACCATAGAGACTGGGAACGAGCAACATCAATCTTTTTCTTCTTCAAGTATGAGACCATTTCAAGAAGAAATATCCTGTCCCCAAGAACGGAGACACCCATTTCTTTCAAATGAGACTGCAGGAAATAAAATTTAAAAAAATATATACATATATAATATATATGTATTATATGTATTTAACAAGCTCTGTATGGAAAAATATTTTGCCAAAGCAGGTAAACTAACTGCCTTGATTGTTTTTTGAAGTGCTATAAAAAAACACAACTAAGATTTTCAACACATAATTTCTATTACAGGTGACAGTTGTATCAAGCCCGTTTAGCTTAAACGGTGTATAAATCAAATTTAAATAACTCTCTTACATCTCTCTTAAATTAGTCAACTTGAATATTATGCACTGAATATATGTAGGTATAAACAGTATCTTTGTATTAAAGTTAAAAACATTTAGTTTGCTTGTTGAATAAAATGATAGACTTGCTTTCTATTTTGAACTTAACCACAGTGTAAGCTAAACAGGCTTGATACAACTGGCCCCAGAAAGTTTTCCTAAGCATACCTCATTTAGACTAGCCAAGATGTTCCCCCCAATTTTATTAACAACAAATTGTTCGCCCAAATATTGAAGGCCAATATTCCTCAAAAATTCGTCCGCTACCCTCTGTGGAGGCCATGCTAAAATAAAAAAGTTTGACAATAGTTTCATACAGATTTTCTGGAGTAAATGGTGCTTAATTAATTCAAAAAGAAGAAAATGAACACATGTGTTTGTTTTTTTTTATGTGCTGTGCTCTATCCAAGACTTCATTATATATTAACTGGGATCAGTTAATAATTGATTGCACTCCGCAACTTTGATAATAGGGCAATGAGGAAGTAGCCAAAATATTGTAATTTGCTACATTTAAGAAACATTCGAAATTTCAGTAGTTCCCACGGCGAAAGACCTTTCGAGATGCATCTAATTTCCCTTGTTTACATAAAAATTGCAACATAGCATAAATTCCTTTCAAATTTCAAGTATCAACCTCACCCACTTCTGAAACGGAAAATATATTTAAAAGCAGGCAAATAATATTGCCAGTGCCCTCTTTCATAACAAACAAAGGGATGTAGTATAGTTTATATAATTTTGTGAACCGCGAAAATCACCTCATTTGACATGATAATATTTAGAACACTTGCAAACTCATTAAATTGCAACTTTTTTTCGGATAGAATGCAGCATGGTTGAATAAACAGTAAACGCTTTAATAGTTTAATTTAAAGGTAAATGTTGACTAAATTTCCTAGTAAACAGAAGCCTCAATCGTTCAATCTATACTTCTGAGATTTCAAACAAAATTTTGATGAGTCACGATCACGATGACACTAATTATGAGCGTATAAAGTCACATTACTAAAAAGTATATTAAAGCCTTACTCTTCACGTCTTCGTGATCAAGATTTAGCACGTAGTTTTCGGCATCGGACGTCTGTGTAGGCTGTTCTACGACCGCTTCCCCGGCAACTTTGACTTGATAATCGGCCATAGCTTTCTTTGTTTACTTCTGCAACCGCCAACACCTTTCACCTAATCACCTTCGGACCCATCCCTCAGTTCAGGCCCAAACACGCCATTTATTTAAAGTGGCTCTTACACCTGTTTTTGGACCGCGCCGCCAAATATGCAAACTTTGTTTCAAATTTTTGGCACCGATTTCTCTAGAACTAAACCTAAGTTGGTATGCAATAAAGATTCTGTTGCATTTTTACTTGATATACTATTTGTAGCAGCGTCCTCAAAAATTATCTTTCCAAATAGCCGAGTTGACATAAGGTGGAAGTTTTTGTGAATTTTTTTTGCCACTGATCGACCAATTTGATAAAACCATTCTTTGACCACCTCTGTCTGGACATTAATACTTACTATTACGAAAATAAGATTACTGCCATGTTTGATGCAATATTTTACGAACTAATTACTCTTTACCAACTTGTTATCAACGGTTAGTAGTTTGTCACTGTATACAACGAGCTATTGCAATTCGGAGAAACGTTTGAATAAGAAGCCGCTCTTGCTAGTGGATTACACAACGTCGCTTTCACCAGCTGAACATTTCGCTTTACTTAAGATACATCAAAGAAACATCGGAAGGAAATGAGACATTAGGTCGAGGCCAAGACCTCCACTTTGAAGAACTATTACTGTATTACATGATATATAATACATATAGCAAGTAAAGGTAGACAAGGTAGACAAATTGCTCAAAACGATTTACTAACTTAACGCAGCGCATAGCAAATTTATGATCTTGGCAAACAAGATTATCTTTAACAGTTTTCTCAGAACAATGTCATTATAGAAGTAGTCAATGCTTGTCTATTGCTAGGACATCCTGGGCCTGCACAGTCTGAGCTCATCTTGAGTCTGGTGATGTGTTTATTTACAAATGCCAACAAGACATTACACTAAGAAAAATGATGGCTCTGATACAATAGCTACAGAAAATATAAACAGTTATTTAGTTCCTAAACATGGCGATTGGTGTTCAGTCAACACCTGCATCCGGGGTAGCATCGGCGGCACCTTCATCAAAGTCAGGATCATCGTCATCATCTTCTTCGTCGTCTTCATCTCCATCTTCATCTGGCTCAAAGTCATCACCTTCATCTTCTTCATCCTAAAGAGAATTCTGGGTGTTTTAGAATTACATACAACAAGCAATGCATGTGTATTTTTAAAAAATCCCACTATAAACTACTACCCAATAAACCGATTTCATTATATAAGAAATCATAATTCTACTTAATAGAGTCTTCTCCCATATAATGGTTGAATGAAAATTTTAAGAAAGTTAGATTTTAAGAAGTGGAAACGCATGAAGATTTTCTAAAAAAAACTAGAAGAACTTTATTGCATATTGCTGAAAAAACAAGTGTGGTCAATTTTCTGTTTCTAGTGAGAATAATTATTGTATGCCTGCAAATAGCTATGAGCAGAAAATTTACCTGAAGATTATCCCTCTGTAAATATTCTAACCCAGTTTCATCATCGGCATCATCTTCTTCATCATCATCGTCGTCGTCATCGTCTTCGTCTTCATTGTCATCATCTTCATCATCGTTATCATCTACCTCGTTTTCCTCATCTTCAAGATCATCATCGAGGCCATCTTCATCATCATCCTCTCCTGCAAAATTAAACAATAGTTAAAGAGCATACATGAGGAGAACATATGTTGCATTTGAGGGAAAGCCAAAAATGCTTTTTGGAAGTCACAATACTAACAGCTCAAAATAAAGCCTTATTTTAAATGCTTCCATATAATGCCTACTTTTTCAAATTATGAAAATTTAAGGGATGTACTTAAAATACAAGTGGAAACACTATTAGCCAAAGACACATTGGCAAACATAGACTATTAGACTCTGCTTTGATATACTTGAAACTTGCATGTGTCTTGTAAACCGTGCTTGTCATGTACAGCAATGGTGGATTTTGTTTTTAAATTTGCAAATTACATACCAACATCATCATCATCTCCCCCTTCGCTTCCCTCATCTAAACAATAAGAAAGGGCCCAGTTATATCTACACTATGTAAACTACCATTTCATTTTTAATGCTATTAGGTTTTGCCACAAGTTGGCCAGTCACAACCCCCCTGACATTGACACCTGAAGTGAACCACATATATAGATACATATATATTAATACATATAATGAACTTTTAATCATGAAAAACCAGACAAATATTTTTGTGATTCATTGATCCTAAGGGGCAACAATTCAAAGGTAATCTCTACCTATTTTCATATATTCAAAATGGCTTTTCCCTCTGACAATAAAAGAACAGGCTTCTGATAGTGATAGGACTATTGTAGTGCTGTAAATGCTGGATGAGTGTCATTTCTGAATAAGAATCCTCAACAACTTTGTTTTTAACAAGTTAATTTAGATGTGGTGCAACTGGAGTTATTTGATTACGTCTTGCTCCCTCAGTGAAAAGCCCTGAAATGGGGTAAATTGTGCTTCTATCACCGCGCTATCTCACAATTTTCATAGATAATGCAAGTTTATAATATTCGATTTCAAAACCCATAAAGCCTTACCATCGTCCTCATCGTCTGCTGACGAGTCTGTTTCGTCCGCTTCTTTGTCGAATCTGAACAGAAAAAAGCGGCAAAACGTAAGAGAACACTCGCATATTCAAATTTAACAGTGACTGCGCGCGCCATTCAGAGCTCCGCACTGAAGCCATGGCATGCTTGTACAAATAACCACATTCAGGAATTTCCAGAGAAAACTGCTCGAAAGGCCGTTTCATGCGAGGAAAAAACATAGAATTGGTTCGTATGCTGTGATAAAATGCACTCACTTGTCGTATCCGTCCAAATACTTTAGAGATGAACACAACTTGAATACTTCACTTCGATAATTTTCAACATTTGTAACTTCGCAGTTATAGAGGTCGAGGCTCTTGAGGTTCGCTAATTCGGCCTGAATATTCACAAATAACATAAAAATTGAGTCGTGTCGGACAGAGAAGAAATGCTAGCATATTCACAGGTAGTTAGAAAGATGGATGTTGATTCATTCGTGCAGAAATCCCTTTCATACGTACCAAAGGCTTCAGCGTTTCGAGGTCTTTTATTTTATTACCGCTTAAATTCAGATGCGTGAGTTTTTGAAAACCTTGCAAATGATGCAGCCCCGACGATATACGATTATCGCTGAGTTCGAGCTAGACAAAAATACGATAAAAACACAGCCGTAAGCGGGAAAATCAACGAGAGCTCTTGTAAATCTCACAGGATTTCGGCAAACAGGGAAACACTTCTTGCAGCGGGAAGGAAGCACGAGATCAACATATAATAAAATCTAGTACTCACGCGTCGGAGATTCGGCAATTTAGGGAAGTTTTTTAGCGACGTTAGACCAGCATTATTCAACGATAGGTAATCCAAGTTTACGAAACTTTCCGTTAGCCCTTCCACTTGTCCTGTAGTTCGACAGTTATCGAGGTTCAGTTCCAATACCTGTAAGCAGAACAAAGCACATGGTTGGAAGAACAACAATTCGTCGCTCGCATCCTACGCTTTATCTTCCTCTTCTCCAACGTACGAACTAGAAGGCAAAACAATCCCGATTTTTGTCACAAGAAACATGACTGCTGAATCCATACCTCGGCAGGTTTAAATCCTCGACTTTCGGCTTGAATTCGCTGCTCCATTGAAAAAGACATCTTCGCTACTTGTACGATTGAACCGTAGTTCTACAAATAGATCTTTGATGCCTTGTGTAAAACTGCACTTTACCGGGGGGTGTCAAAATCGCCTGAAAAACAGGTGGTATTTCACGGGGGGTGACAATAAAAGCAATATTTGCACGTGATGAGAATTTTCTTTTTCATCTTAAAAGAATTATGCTTTATATAAAATGCTCCTTTTTTTCCCAAATAATTTATATTTTTGAAATAATACTTTCATTTTAAATAAATTTGAGGCAGCTTGATTATAATTTGATTAGGAAAAGCTATTTCAAAAACTAACAACTTCAAACATAGCTCTAACAAGTGTTCTATATCTTTTTTGTGGTCAACTTTTGTTTCCAAATACTTTTTTGCGAACATGTATAAAACACTAAAATAACAAAAATCGAAAAAAAATCTGTTGTATATGATACTGGCAAGAGGTACTCGAATTTTGCAGAAAATATTAAAATTTTACTCTGATTAAATGGTGAATTCTCCTTAGTCGATAAACACATAGAATCGAGGCTCTTCTTTCCGGCTTCGCTTGTTCGCCGCCATAATTTTTGCGTGAAATTTGGAAAATTACAAAACATATTCGTTTCAAAATGATTCTAAAATTAGTCAAACTCAGCCAAAACCCACTGTAAAACTCACAACTTTGTAACTCCACATAAATAAGAAAGAATCCATGTTAAATTTGAACGGATTCAGGGCGAAAACCAAAGTATACTTTTCATTCCCAAACACGGCCCTCTTGTAATTTCACCATAATTCGTGCCACAAAAGCCAAAAATATACTTCATTTTGCCTTCTTTTCGTCGGAAAAAACACAGCTGCTTATGAAGCTGGCGTTTCCTCAACATTGTGACGTTATTTGGAATGTTTCTACCCATTTTAAAAGCTCAAAGTTGCCTGTATATTGAGTCGGTACTAAGAAATCAACGCCTCCCTGGCCATATTGTGACTACACGTTCGCTCTGGTGAAAAGATACCCCCTCTTAGCGATACAATAAGGATGGCTCGGGGAAAATTAGACGCGTCATTATTCTACAGCATGCAATTTTTACTGAAATTTTGGCTAAATCACGACACGGCAGTGCTCAAAACGGCAAATCTTACCGATTACGTGTAATTTGTCTAGATTCGAGAGAGAACTTCAGCCATTTTATGGGAATCTGAAATAAACTAAAACGCAACGTTTGTGGTATCTCAAAATGGACGATTTCCGGGCGGGGAGAGAGGGCCTTTCAGTTGGGTTCATCCTAAACTTGGGCTATTAGCTTGACGGCCTCAAATCCGGGAATGAAGTTCGTAGAGAGATTCGTAGAGGAAGAAGGTCAAGAAGCCATTAATTTAGAAACGTTTTTATACTGAAAAATAACAAAAATAAAATGTGCAAATTGTATGGAAACCACTGGGGATTCTTATTTTAAAATACAAAACAACAGGAACTCCGGATAATTTTTTATTTTTATAAAATGATAAAATGTTATTCAGACTTTCTCTTCTTTTGCATTTTGTCAGAGTGAATTATGAATGAGTACATAAAGGAATGCGAAATGTTTTCATTTCTTTCTTTCACAAACTGACCGGGAAGAACAAAAATTATAAAGTCAAACTTGGCTTCTATGCCCGAGGTTAATGAGCTGGAAGCCTCATTCTGACCAATCGTAAGCTAATCGATTTTATTTAAAAATAATCACCTGTCCCCCATGCCAAGATATCGGTCATTCCACATCCCACAAATTTCTTCGCCCAGCCACGACGTTTGCGGTAGACAGCTAGTGAGCAGTTAAAAGAGCAGTGCTTTAACTGCTTTTGAATGGTAGGTCTCTGAATCAATTCGGAATAAATCAAGCGGGAAAATTCCGCTTTGCAATTGGCTGATTCATCTTTACTAGTCAATCATAACAAGTCAGGTTATAAAGTAATCCTGTCTTAAAGAAAATTCAAATTCTCATCCTCTGTGAAACATTTACATTTAACTTTGATCACCCGTGAGAAAAAGGCCCGAAAACCCCATTGTAAGCTACCATATTTCTATACTTTACACTAACTTGATGGTGGGTTATTCATTCTAAGCTAACCAGCAATGATGCTGAAGTTATTCCCGAGCTAATTAAATTACAGGAACTTCAAATTTCTGGTGTTCCAAATATTTGAACAAAAGAATTCGTGTATTTTAAACAACGAAATGTGAATTACAAAAGTAAATAAATTTGTGCCAAAATTAACGCCTAGCCGAGGCTAATTAAATTATACTTCTGTATTTACTATTTTCACTAAATCCCACAATGCCATGCGTACCAAAATAAATTCACGATTTTCACTAGATCAGTTACAATAGCTGGAGCTGAAATCTTGAAAAAAATTCTCTAAATTTTAAAAAAATTAAATTCGTCAAGATTGTAGTGCACGCGATTGTAGGATTTAGTGAATGATATTAGTGAATAAAATATAATCTCAATTTGGATAAAATCGCGTTATTCAAGCCGCAACTCATGCCAGAAAAATCCAGAGAATTTGGAGTTGTTTTTGAAGCCCGTTTTTCACTCAGAGTACCAAATCCGCTACTGGGAACATTCGCGCACTTGGCAAGTCAAATATTTCTGAAGATTACATTTGGCCGAAATGCTTTCCTATGTCGCCCGACGAGCCTAGCAGATAGCTTGTACTGACGTATTACCTGTCTGTTTGCAAGCGTTCATACTAATATAAATTTGCAGAGATCATTTGCACTGAAATACGGCTGAACCAATAGTGAAAAACGAGCCGAGACAAAAATATATCCAAGGAGTGGTTGTAAAAAGGCTAGTTAAATCTCAACTATACGGTTAGTAACAGAATTAGAGAATCAGAATAGTTCGTTTCGAAGTTAACTACGATTTAAATATACCCAACTTCTGATTAAGACATTCATACAACCACCCCCTATTCGTCTGATAATTTGACTATAATAATAAATAGGCATTCAAATGATCAGACAAAGATTTTAACGGTTGACAGACGTAAAAGTAACGCCGGATCCGTCTATAACCCCAGCAGGAGTTACAGCAGGAATCTGGCCAACAACCCTAGTTGGACGAGTAGGGCCTGTGCACGAGTCATCAACAACGTTGGTGCTTCAATTATGTTACAATTCGTGCGTGAGCAAACGTGTTACACGAGATTATAGTCTTTGAGATGCTGCTGTAAGATACTGTCTTTAACGGCGGCAAAAACAAACTTTATATTCTCCGTGTCGGTCGCGCATGTAAAATGCGAGTAAATTGGCTTTTCTGGGTCCGGATTTAAGTTCACGAACATCTTTAATACGAACTCGCGAGCAGCAGCTGCGTCTCTAGGCTCACCTAGAAACAAAAAAAACATATTAGGTCACGATAAGGACTGTTTTGCAATAAACTCCGCAGGCGTTTGACATTTATAACATCAAGTTTTTAAAAGCTTTGACTTTCTGCCTTTATTTGAAGAGAATTTGCTCAAGAAACTGCGATATGTATCCAAAACTCAAGGTTTACCTATTAAACAAGTTACTGACAAATTCCATGCCTTTTTCTAGCACACAAATTAACAAAATACAGTGGACATAGTAAAACATCGTACCAAAACGAATTCCATAAAAAACTCGTTCACGAAAGCAATTTGAGGTAATTTGGGAAACAAGCATAAGGGGCTAGTTTATACTTTATGTGGAAATTTCTGCTTTGCTTTTTCGTCAATTCGTACGTTTATGCCTAATGATACCACTGTAAAAATGTTTATGCCTACTGATGCTCCCATTGTGTTAATGATAAATTGGCACGGTCTATATCTTCTTCATTATCAACCACAGCATCAGTTAAGATATTCAGTTTAACATGAAACCAGAGTCTGTAATAAATGACCTGGTAATCCCACAAAACACACAGATTCAGCGTTTACAAAGTCAAAACAGTTTTGTAAAACATACTAAGCACGTTACCCTGGTCGAGTAGATGCACTGTCAAGACCGGGTTCTACCTCTGGAGACGAGCACCGTACATTTGGATCGTTGTGTTCAAACTTAGCCTGCGCGCAGACGTAAATTCACAGAAAATCAAACTAGGCGCCAAAACAAACGAAAGGCACCGGCACCCGACACTAAAGTCTGAACGCAGTCTTCATTAGTAAATATGACCACAACTTTAGTCTCTAAATTTATTCCTCCGCTCTCTTCACAAACGTGACATAGTGATATTAAGGTGGCTTAGCGTAGTTTTAAAACCTACCTAGCTACATCTACAAGAGTCAATATTTATATATATTTTATACGTATCGCGTGCACTAATTTCGCGCAATCAAAACCAAACTAAGCCAACTTATACAGTTCTAAAATGACAATTATTATTATTATACACTATTACACTTATATAAGTTAAGATATTATTTAGCATAAACCACGTATCCTACTTGGCCTGACCAATCATGAGGGGACCCAAAATGAGCGGGTCCCAGTCTAAAGGGGCTCAAGAACCACCTCGATATACCCCTAATTTCATACAGAATTTCCGATATTAAATTATGGAGATCATAAATGGAAAGCTAGGCATCTATATATCGTAATCCACACTAGTTACACTCTCAGACCAGTTATATTCTGAGGCCTGGGGCTAAACATGTTTGCACCAAACTTTACAAACGAGGAAACATTTCAACATGCTGTTACGTAGGGATCAAAAATACGGGGAGGGGAAGAAACTTCTCCAAAACCCCTAATATTTAGAATACTAAGTAACTACAATACTTTACCATTGTATTATACATTTTAGGTAGTACATATCTGATATAACACTAAATGAACTATGTGTTCCCTTGGTAACAACAGGCTTCGAGTTTTCGTTTCTAACACAATAAACGATGCCTTTGACGAATCTAATTTTAAAGCAATGATTTTATCAATCAAGACGGCCATTTTGAAGGAAACAATGTTTTCGCCATGTAAAGCGGAAAACTATTACAAGTTGATGTTTTATGTAATTGCATGGGAAAAAAAGACCTTGACAGAACACAGAAAAATTGTCGATATGCACAACAAATTCTGAAAAAATTCCGGCTGTATAATCTACGAATCATAGGTTCCTTTTCATTATGAAGTATGCCTTTGCTTTGCTTTGTCAAAACCAGATGAAAGATTCTATTTTTTAGCAATGACGATTGTACAATATTATTGGATTAATTCAATATTTTTGGTCTTCGAACATTCATGACCTAAGAATTACACTTGAGGAAAGGAAATTGAGGGATTCATGGTTCAAAACGTTGGAACGTTCCCCATGTGAAGAGACAATTCATAACTAAAGTAAACAAATCCTTGTATGAATAGCAAAGAAAAATTTGAAATTAAACGAAATTAAAATAGCAACAATTGATTTTGTTTCCCTCAAAGCGGCCGCCTCATAAACGAGCACACGAAATTTTGTCCAGCATGCATTCCTAGATAATTTATGACCTCCATAAATAAATTTGCCACTGAGCTCTATACATACATAAAGTAACATGCTAGTAATATAATATAGAACAGTGACGGTAACTCACTAACAGATCGAAATAATCGAGGAAGGGGATAAGACCTCCGGGATATAAAATCCCCGGTGGTGAAAAATACCCGATGGGATTTAACTTCCTGTGTAGTCAGCCGGCTGGTAGTAGTGTTTGCGCGATTTACAATGTCAGTGTAGATTTCAAGTCTTTGCATTTCTTACAGTAGGAAAGTTGGCGGCGTTAACGAACCATCTGAGAAAGACTGCAGTAGAAGTTTACTGGTGGTGCTAACTTTTCAAACCAAATTATATTCCTTCAAGTTTAACTGTAAAATTGTGTCTTTGACTGCGGCGAAAACGAAGCGAATGTTCTCGGTATCCGTGGCACAAGTGAAATGAGAGTAGATTATTTTATCTGTATCAGGGTTTAAATCTACGAACATCCTTAGGATGAATTCCCGAGCGGCTTGGGCGTCCTGTTGCGGACCTGGAATAAAGAGAAATTCAATTTATGAACAAGGAATGAGCAATTGTCACTACGAGAGGGGTTACACAACAAGATTTCAGGCAATTCCTATTGGACAAAGGTTCTGGTTTGAACTGTCTGCTCGTTTGAAACAGTAGTGTGGTGTGTGGAGGTGGGTGAAGTGCGTAGGTGGGTGAGGTGCGAGATTAGACTGACCATGAAGTAGGAAAGATTTAAAGAAAATGTGAAATTTCATTGTATTTTCCTCTCTGCGCCATACATCAGCGGAATTCGAGTGGGGATGCTGCAGAAGCAGTGTTTAGCTCAAGTCACTCCCCAAATTTAAAAATTAATTAGTTACTTCCGTATTGCCCTTGCGATAAGCATGTTGGCATGGAAACAAGACCACAACAGCAGACCAGCTGGTAAATTTACACTACGTATTTTATTTCAAACCTTGAAAAATTTACATTTGTTATATTTACCATCATTTAAATATGAGATATCGTTTATAGTTACAAAAGATTTTAGGTTTAACTTTTAGCTTTTCTGTATTCTTGTATACTTTTCCTACCACGGTGTTTAGAAGTGTTTACTCTGGTCATGCTGTCTTCCGTGAATCTTGTTGTTCCTGGAAATTTAATGAGAATCATTTAAAGAATAAGAATAGATCCTTCCAGAATGTTTATTCATCAACATACAAAATTTGAGAACGGTTTAAATTAAATTTATGTTTACGATTAGAGTTTTTTTAGTTTCAGAAAGACAAAGCAAATTTCGTGGGATACGACACGTGATTCGCGTAAATAGGAAACGGGGATACGGGCTTTGGGATAAGTAACGGATGTCACATAAAGGGAGAAAATCCAGTATGTAAAAATATGATTCTTTTATTAGAATAGTATAGTTAATTCATAATTTAACATAATGGTTTAAAGATAGTTTAATAACACTCACGAACTTTCAAACGAATGGAATCGATAACGGTCAGGCCATTTTCAAACAGTATACAGGCAAAACGTAGACAGCACTTGAATAAGCCGGTTATAGACATTTGTATAATATAAATAACATTAATATATACAATACTTATATAAAGAGTTACCTTGTCAAAAGAGATTCCGCCATTAACAATGCATGATCTGTTTCAAAATCTCGCCATCGATAGGTTGAAAAAAAAGATCAAACAAAGCAAATGTCTCAAAATAATATATCCAGTTCTTGATGTGGAATTGCAAAAGAGCACATCACAGACACACCGGCCTTCAATGATACAAGGATATAAGCCAAGATTTTTGACCATCCGTTTCGTGCGCTGCGCACTGATTTCTACAACACTTAGCATGTAGGTAAGTGCATGCCGCCACGCATGTTTCTCACGAGTAAAAAAATAGCGTGCTACAAAGTACTCGAAATATTGACCTGTGATGCAGACAAGATAGACGACATGTCTGGAATACAAGCAAAGGCAGTAACAGAATAATAGCAAAATTACCATAATACGGCCGGGAACATGGCATCTATTCGTTCTCATTCTCCGTTAGAAACTTATCCAACCTTAGGTAATTTCAAAGCTACAAGAATTGACCACAACTGCCATTCAGACCACAGCTGTACATTTTACCAGAATATTTCAAAAAGAAAATTTACGTTTTCTAAAGGCTGGCATAAAATTGAGAAGTGTTTTGTGTTAACTTTTCTCTTTCTTTCTCCCTCTTTTCATCTTTTTCACTCATTTATGTTTGATGCTCGCAATGCATTGCCTGCACGAGCCGCCATTTGTTGCCAATTGAAGCTATCTATTTTCCAAACACTCATAGTTGCCAAGCTTTTTTTAGAAAGTTCAGTGTGAGATTTTCCATATTTAAATGTACCAATGTTACAAAATATTGGTTCAAACCATTATTGTATATTAAAAATACTTTTTAGGAACTCTTGAGTATTGATAAGCATTAATATGCTGGAAGAGTGGACAGGTTTGGTATAAGTGGCTTCACTAGGAAATTATAGACGGTTTAAATTTGAGGTTTATATCACACACCTTTCTTATAGGATGCAAAATTTAGAAACGCGATTGCCGTTGGAAATAAACCAGTTTCATGCATACATAAATGTGTGGAACTTTTTCTTGTGACAAAAAGCCAAAATAGGCGTTGTTATTAAGACTGGAGGCATAACGAGTTTAGTTGTTTTATAGTTCCCAAAGTCAGTTTGATAAACCCAGAATACCAGCATAGCTGGCAATTGTAAACCCGACGCAATTCGTTGGAAATTGTCAGTAGTGTTTGCTGGTACAACAGTAAAAGTGAGCAAATGCATCCACTGAAGTTAACCCAGTATAGTGAACATGCACAAAAACTATAATAAATAAATATTATGTGTTACTTACCTTCAAAATCAGGAAAATAATCAGCTAAATGGGAATACATAATTTTTTCTTCCAGTAAATCCTTTTTGTTGAGAAACAATATAATGGAAGAATTTTGAAACCATGGATAAGTAATTATCGTTCTGAACAAGGCTTTGCTTTCTTCCATTCGATTCTACAAAGATTTAATAGAAAATATTTGCCTGAGATAAAATACTTTGACGGAATTAATATATTAAAACGCAGGGTTGAAGGCTGAAGCATAGAATTTGATAACATTATTTTTCACTCTTTACTCAGATATCTTTTGACAACATCATTCATGCTCATGGACAGGAAACAATTTTCAAAATTTAAATCTAATTGAACACCAATTGTCATCAACAAGGCAATAAGTGAACTGCAAAGTTTTTGCAAAATCATTTGAACAAAATTGCATAATTCTAAACATTGAATAGTTTTTTGAAAACTTGTTATTACAAACAACTCTACAAACTAAAGTCCATTGGCACTTGTGACATGTGGGAACAGTCTCAACGCATTAGCTTTGTTTTGGCAAGTACACAAGGTCAAAAACAAACAAGGCGGAGATTCCCATTGGTTAGATTCTAGTTCCCTAATAGAAACATAATATTTACCTCACTGTCTGATTCTACCAAAACCTGATCATATTCGCTTAAGGCGACAAGGAACATGATTGAAGTTACATTCTCAAAACAGTGGATCCATTTTCGCCTTTCAGACCTTTGTCCACCAACGTCTACCATTCTAACCAAAACACAAGAAGCATATCAAATTTGTTAAACTGAATTAAAACAATCCTATCGAAGCTGGATAGTGGGGGGAGGTAGTGGGGGGAGGAGGGGGTTTTAGGGGTAACTTCAAGGTTTCTGACAATTTCTTTCTATCACTTCATCTCTTCCAGAATTCCAATTGCCCATTTCTAATATGCCAGCATTAATGGCTTAACCTTCTCAATCTTTTTTAATATTATCAAAGAGTGAATCAAACCATGTGCTGCATGCTCTTATTATCATACACCAATTATTTTTTAGTTTTATATAATAAAACTAAAAATTTTTATAAAAAATTGTGGGATTTACTACCTGTACTCAATAACTAAATTGTGTTTTCACTGGGCTTGTGTGTTATTCATGGTAAAGAATTATTTTGAATCATTCATTTAGGGTGTGTCTAGTAGATGTTTCACACCTCAGATTTGTTGCATTGTTTTTCAAAATTTCCTTTTGAAGGTTAGAATCATATAGGCATATATATATACTAATATGCAAGGATTCTTTTTCTAATAAGCTACACCAAAATCTTATCTAAAAAATGCATGTGAAATTCAGTGCCTCTAGGCAATTTTTGAGAGGGGGTAAAAAAAACAATAAAAAATTTGCTGTCGCCTGTAATTTTTATACATTTGCATACATAATCATTCATTGACACATCAGAAATTATGTATTTCCAATGAACGAAAAACCCATTACCTTTATGGATTTAAATTCCCTTTTACCAGACTAGCACACTAACATTCAAATGGTTTTTCATTTAAAACTTTCAAGTTTAATTTGTGTATTTTTAGGTAGTCTATCTATGTATATCACTCCAGTTACAATGTAAGGTTTGCAAGTATTACAATGAGCCCACACAATTTTCATGCAAAGTATTACACCTTATTGATCCATATGTGATTTACTTATGGGCACTATCTCAAAGAAGCATTGATAAAAAAACTAAAATTAAGGGATTACCATTAAGGCACATGTTGTCATATTTGCTTTATTTATTACAAAATGCCTGCTTTAAGATATGCATATCTTCTTTACATATTTGCAAACAAATGGCTTGTGCTGATCAATTTGGAAATCTGTTGAAAATTGCCATTTGTGTGTGGCTGAAATACTGTTAATATTCCACAATTTTGATTTGTGTTTCTTTCAGGCTAATATTCCACAAGTTTAGGTTAATACTCCACAATTTTGATTTGTGTTTCTTTCAGTTAATTCACACCTTGTAACATGTCTGCAGGCATGCAGTACAAAAACTGAGTACATATGTACAGGCAGAGGTGGACGGTAATAAAGACCAAGAAATGACAGTTGCATTGACAAGGAAAATAGCTTTTATCTTCAACTGTCTTTTTATAAAATGAACTTTTATAGAGCATTTAAGAGATAAAAATAAGTATCACATCACCATGGTACTTTTATTTGGCACCAGATTGTCTGGTCCATCTTAGCCAATCAGATCCCTTGAATTATAAGGTTATTGCTTGAAAGTATGCTGCACACTCAAGGCTGTTACAATAGCTCAGGGTAGATTTTTAGCATAGCTCCATGTTGAGGAGCTCCTCTTAGCTTACATGCAAAGATTGGTCATGAAAAAACACTGCTTATACATGGCTACCAATATCTCTGAGTGCGATGAAAATACAACTCACAATTTGACTAGAAAAGATACCAGCAACAATACCCATTTGAGAAATATTTCACAACATATTTATACAAAAGCATTACATCCAGTAAAGTAGTACAACCTGTGACTCCTTTTTAATTTAAAAGCGGCTTTGCGACACGCATAGACAATTGCATGGCTATATAATTCATTTGAAACTCATGTGCACCTAATATGATATACAATTAGCAAGCAATTGAGGCTGAATTCCCATTCAATACACCTGCTGAAGTTACAAATAAGTCTTCAAAATTGTCTATTTTTCATGCACTTTTGCCATAAAAAGCATTGGAATACATTTGTGAAAAAATTGCAAAGTGTATCTTTGCCTGTTAAAATATTAACAAAGGAGTTTAACATTGTGTAATGCTTGCCCCATGAAATGCAAATATCAAACAGGAGTAATATAATATATTAAACATAGCTAGATTAATTTTAAGGATTCTACATTAAACAAAGTGCTGTGGATATATCTTAGTGGCTGGACTCTCAGTTACATGCTGTTATTTATAACCTGAATAAATTTTTTTAATCATGGCAATGCTGTAGCTGTTATAAGATTATGCGGGATCTTGTGGCCCAAATGAAATCTCATGAATATTTCAGTTGCTCAATAATCTGAGAGACAGTTATCTGAATATATTATAGAACCTTCTGGCAATTTGCATGTCAACTTGCAAACCTTCTGAATCAACAAAGATGATCAAAAAAGGAATGAAAATATCACAAGTGTTGCAAAAACATTAATGGGAAGGGAACCGGCAAGGAATTTGCTCGTTTTAAATTTCATTACTAGATGCATTTTATCTTGTTTAAGCAGATTATTTGCAGCCATTTGAAGCATTTTGCTAGGGATGCAGACACACTGTTTCAATAGACCAAACTATCTCATTTCTCCTTCCATGCAATTACATTTATGACATTATCAAATGTCTTGAAGTTTCCCCATGAGAATTGATACTCGAAAAAAGTTGTGAAAAATTAGTCAAACGCTAATAACTTTTGGATTAGATAAGTTCCATGTAGACAACTTGATAAGGCATGGACATGTGACTCGGTTACCTTGGCCTGGTGATGTTTGTAAAATTGAGGTGTGTTTAGTTCTCCAGCTTGCATGCAATAATTTTCATAAAATGATCATTTTCGTAAAACCCTCAAAGTAACACGAATTTAGGCCCTTCTGAACTAAAATGCATTGAAACATTTAAACGCAGTCTAGGCAGAACAATAAATTTGCGGTCAAAAATATATTTCATTTGTAATAAGTTAAAAAACGAAACATTATTAATACTCAGCTTGCATGTGATAATTTTCATCAACTAAGCTAAAAGCACAACTGCCCTGCTTGCATTAAAGCCGCACTAAACGGTGCAATAAATTTGTGGCCAGCAAATAATTTGACATAATTTCTAAAATACCGAATGCCCACGTTTAGGATCACTGTGAAACAACAAAATTACTTATAATACAAGTGCCCTGCAAGCAGCTATAAAGAGACAGACGGCTGATTTTATCAAATCTTCGTAAAACGATGTAAACTTTCCAAGATACGAAATATCCTTGCTCGAAAACCAAAAGCAAAACCCTGGAAGAAAATGTTCACAAAGACCCTGGGGGTGTCGTAAAAATGCACTCGAAACGGCACATAGTTTGGGCATTTTGAATGCGTGCAGCTTTAGGCATTTACGAAACATATTTGCAAGCAAGTAGTTTCGTCCGGGGCTATTTACACTCGTACAGCCCACGCATTTCGTAATTTGGAAAGCTACTCTAAGATCTTTTAAGATGAATAAATCTTGCAGATTCGGTTATTTTAATCTGGGTGCGAAGCGCAAAGCGTTGGCGGCCGGGTCATCTGTCATGAACGCGACCCAGAGAAATATGTCGCAGTTCTTTCCAACGCGAACACTCGGCATCGTATTTCGAAACAGGGGTCGAAGAATCAAGAAGTCGCGAAACGACTGTAATTTATTTTTCGGACGACAGGAAGCAAAAAATCACGGCCTGTACAATAGGGTATCATGCTATTTTTAGGTGGAAATTTAAAGACCATAGAATCATGATGCTCCATAAAGCGAGAAACTGGATGCTTTTATTATGTGTATTCGCATTCATTATAAGTGGACGGGAACAGGCAGGCCTTTGAAGGCTTTCCTTCGTAGAATGAGCAACGTCAACGATTACACTCACCGAAATATGATGGTGTCCAAATCGAAAGGGTATTCTATGATGCCTGTCGTTGGCGCCCGGGCCCGTAAAACGTCCTGTTCTGTTGGAAGGTAACTCGCGGCTGCGATTCTGTCCAAATCACTGAGATAGCTAAACGGAAACAGAGTTTTGTACATGAGAAATTGAAATACAGGAGTTCGACGCGCACGAATGCAAGTGTGTGTGCAGACCGCTAGGCAAACATAAAATACAAGTGTATATTGCTACACAAGGGAAAGAATATGGGCAATAAAAACAGGGGGAAAGGCATGGCGTGCTTTACGCAAACACAAAACACATCTGCTTGCCGCTCGTATAAAATAATCGCGGTCGAGAAACACCTATCTTATTAAAAACAACACAGTGTTTTCTTGCCTTCTAAAAAAGATAGGTGTCTTCGAATCGCAAGAGGACAAACATAGGTTAAGGCAGAAGTGTATAGGCATACAATTACTTAAATTTCAAGGCAAGGTTTCAGCTTACTATTTGCACGAGTCGCTCAATTGAAATTCTCGCCGTCTGTCATAGCATTCTTGAATCCCACTGTCGTTCCATAGATTTTTTACTGCATCATAATATTCTTTTCGGAACGAGGTTACCGCGTCAGGATCGACACTACGAACGATTGACACGAAATCCTATAGACGGATACAATCGTGCCAAATCAGAAATGTATTCATATTTTAAGCACACAGGCTAAACGCTCAAAGGCGAATAACTCAAATCAAACAAAAAACCAGTGTTGTTTTTTGTAAACAATGCTAGGAGACAGTGTATTTCGTAGCCGAAGGACGAGAGCAGTTCTTACCTCGTTGGAAGGGGTTGCATACGGAATTCTCAGCGTTTCCATTGCCCTTGTCAAACTGTGTATAGCCATAAAAATATTTTGATATACGAGTTTGATATAACCTCTTCGATCATCCTCAGTGTATCCCTGACCGTGAATAATTCTCATTTGTTTGATAAAAGTACTCTTGCCCGATTCCCCAGTACCTAAAGACCGATTTAGTACGAAATATTAGCAGCTGTGGTAACGGCAAACCAGATTTTCAAATGACAACTGTTTGGCTTCAATAGGAAAATACAAGTATAAATGCATACAATAGCTTTATACTTCACTGGCTGTTGAAAACTTTATGACTTATAGAATACGGAATCAAACGCGTGATCCGGCCGCGAGACTTACCCAAAAGCAAGAGTTTTAACTCTCTTCTTGAGTCCTTTTTATCCTTTCTAAGCATTCGCTCGATTTCATCGTTGATTCGCCGCTGTTCCTTAACTTCTTCACTCTCACAGCAGCCAGCGAAGGGCATATTTTCATGTGTTTATGCGGCCAGTATAATATCGTCCCTTCTTGATCGTTGGCTTCCACCAACGATTAAAAACGCCTCCTTGCTTCGCTCGAGCCCGTGTACGAGCAACGAGATGGCTTTAGTCCACAACACACAAGCAGTACTTTAAATCGGAGCGAAAATTGTAAAGTTTTGGTTTAGCTGGGCGTCGGTTAATTCGAACACACACCGATCTCAGTATACAACCAGAGATACTCTGAGCATCACGGGATACATTGACACCCATATTCGGCCCTCGGAAAGCGCCGGCCGTCGTGAAAAGTTCGGCACGTGCACGTGCTTTGGGATCGTTCCAGAAAGATGCATGTTGTTACAATTGCGAACAATTTGCGACAAATTCCCGAATTCGAACAAGTTTTCTGGAAATTGTGACATCGCTCATGAAGTTAGCATGATTGTTAAATGTAACCGAAGATTACTAATATTATTAACAATATTTTTTACATTGCTTGCCGTTTGAAAAACTGTCTTCAACTAACTTTGTAAGACGTTTGTACACTTGTTAGTCTTGTTTGAGTACCCCGCGTCAGTCGCGTGAAATTTGCGTGACTGCCTGAAGGCGCATCCTGAAAGAAAGCTTTGGTAAATAAAGATTAATTTTGATATTCGATAAAAATGTGAAAAATCTCAGTTTTAAGTTTCAAGTGACTGCATGCAAATCACCTTCCGCAATGTTATTGTCCGGACTGTTCATGCATGCAAATTACGCCTATAAAATTTCTCGAAAACTTTGAAAATACAATGTTTTATATAGCAAGTAAGAACTGAATATAATGTAGTTACATGCATTTAAAATGCTCCATGTCGTATGCACAGCAATTGAATGTAACTCATATTTTTGCTGCCCAAACCATCAAATGGACTAATCAAATAAGTCAATTATCTTGCCTCTAATTTTCCATCCCTTGCGAGTTGTGATCACGATTTTTTCGAGGCCCTCAGACACACCTAAACCCTGCAATAACACATGCCATAATTAGAATCTGAAATTTAGAAAACATATTATTAATATTAGAGCACGGCCTACGGCGAGCAACTCGCGCTCTGCGTTAGTAGGAAGTTAGGAACCACGATAGAAGGCATTTAGATATCTGGGGTCGGTTGCATAAAACTCTTTAACTACATTTTGCATTGTTAGGCCCTCCGCACACGTGAGCTATCAGCTAAGCTAAAGACCTCACGAGGCAGTTAGCTCAGCTCGAAAACCATCCGCACACGTGAGAAACTTGCCTCTCGAGGCGAATTCCTCACGAAAACTATCCGCACACGAGAGTAACTTGCTGAGCTGACAGCCACGCGTGGTCTTATTAGAGGCTGTTTACATGAGCCCGGTTACCCGAGATTCAACGAAGCGTGAGAGAACTTTGAGGTATTGAAATAAGTCTTTATTACACCAAACGCTATTGTTGTGGTGATTTTACGACTGCCAAGATCATGTCATCTGCTCATTTCAATACCTCAAAATCATCTCACGCTTCGTTGAATCTCGGGTAACCGGGCTCATGTAAACAGCTCCTTACTCACGTGTGCGGCGGGCTTAAAATCCTAGTTAACTCAGAAATACACGACTCTGATTGGCCAATTCTGTCCTTACTTACAGTTAAAAGCTAACTTGTCTTTTATACAACTTGCCTCTAAATTTGTTTGAATTGGGCGGGAAGCTAAATCAAGTAAGGTTGGGCTTTGTAAGGACCACAACAAAGCTGCTTTCCACTTACCCGTTTTTCATACGCACGTACACGCACGTAGCAATCTAAATCTTTTTGTTATCTTTGTGAATAATTCGAAAGAACTTAGTTTTCCGCTTTAGTATATGCACTTGTTGACCTAGATGTGGGATAATAAAAATTTAGCGGAAACATTCAAAATTTTCCGTGGGTGTAAGTACGTAAGGAAGTCAGCAGAAACGAGTCATACGACTCTTAACTAAGCCAGGGTCCTAAGTGGGGAACGCTATTATTATATAGGTAAGTGTCTACATGAGTCAGCAATGGGGTTACAATGAGACATTGCCTCCAATCGTTTTTGACCTGGAAGATGTTTGGGATTTGCCCAACAACCACATCAAGCTATTTGCGACATTTTACCCCTTTTCAGTTTCGACACACCTGAGATTACAACCGCCTAGCAAAGGTCTGTGTTCAGGCTAACACAACCGCCTCTCTTACTGACACTTCCTAAATTACTGATTTACTCAAATGTTCACATTACTCCTCCGTCCCTGTAATCAACGGTCCACTCTTGGTACTGCCGACGGCCAAATTCTAGAGGCTAAGCACTTGTGGGGACAACCCACCGACGCATTTGTCTGGAAACTGATTGTCATTGATAAAAAAAAACGACGACTTATTTCCGCTGTCGCCATTTTTCCATCACGCAAGATGTCACGCACGGAAATTTTTTGCGACAATACTTGTAAACAACTGAAGAAACAGAATCATTAGGTTTGACCTTTGGATGATTTCATTCATTTTTGCTAATGTATAATTACTTTTATATAAATTTTATATTATAAGAACTTAGACGGTTTTATACGTTACGTGCTCGGTAGTAAAAATTAGTCTGTTATGAATGTCGATTTTACATCAGGATTGGCGTTACAAAATTGCAGTTTCTTTGTCATAAAGACTTTTTACTTACGTCTTTCTTAAATAGTCATTGTTATTGGCACTGTAATCGGGTTTTCCCCCGCCACCAATTCTTAGTTTATAGTAGTGCCGGTGCAGACAATCGAGTCACTGGCATTGTAGTTTCGGGAACGTATGTTGATTAACAATACAGTAATTAATTGGATACTGAATCATGTAATCATTTGTACAAACGGATGTACTGTACAATTGCAACCAACCATGGGGCTGATTGCCGCAGCTGGATAGCGAGTGCTACACGCCTTGTTATGAAAATTCCTAGACATCGTGACTTGATGAGGAGAGTAGCTCGTTTATACTTTTAGTTGACTTTATGGAATAGTAGAAACCTTACGTTGAACTCTCTCTAGGGGGAGGGGGCAGCTTTCCCTCCCCCGCCCTAGCGCTGGGCACGACTCTACAAGCACTCGAATAGTATCAAACTTGTCCCCCTTTTTAGGCGAAATCTGTCCCATATGTCATTATTTTACTCCCGGTTATCGAGTCCATGTGAAGCAATCAATTTATCACTCGATTAAACAGCGTGTATGAAATCATCAGTCAAACTACGGTCAAACTCCGAATCCCGTCTGTTGCACGAGTACTTGAGTACTCGCGTTGCATCATCTAATCACACGACCTTTGGATAAAAGCCTCTTTTGCACTGTATTCCATTACTGAAAATGCTAGCAACATAGCATGTACATATGCATAAAACTTGCTAGGGCACCGGTTTTAACCGTGGTGTGCCAATTCATTTAGTGTAGCGTAAACGGGACTTAAATATGGTATTACAACAGTTGACCAAAGGTAGTAACGGTGCGATGGTCATGCGGTCGTCCGCTTTGACGACGAACCATGAAACAGAAATTTTAGAACTGACACCTCATGACTGAAAATATTATATATGCCGTCATAGGTAGCCGTATGGCTGATGACTATTTTTCCAGCATGCACTCGAAGACCGTTTAATTAACATTCCAGGCCATTTATTATACTAGAGTGATCTTGAATCAACATAATTTTGCGTTCGTTTGGCCTATCATTTCCTGGTTGAAGTGGAGGAGTGGTGAGAGCGAGATTTGCGGTGCATCAGGGGATGTTTGGAACAATTTTGCATATGGTTCCAAAAACCGGCAGTTCCAATGATGCATTGTCACTATCGTCAGTCTTCTGTTCAGCTTCTCAATACTGTACAGTGAAAAAAGTCGACAGCTTGTAGGTAACCAAAGACTGATAAACTCAACCCAGGGCCCTATCGACGTCGCTATTTTCATGCACCGAAAAGAGATTTGTGTTTGAACTCATTTGCATTAGGTACCGGTTCGGCGCATGGAAAGAGCGACGTTTGACCTAGGCATAAGGTTGAGTAATCTGTGTGTACCTAACTGACAAGCTCAATGACAATGGACTTCATGGAGTTCAAGCGAGGTTTTAGTTATGCACAAATATGTCAAACTTATCGTCAAACATTAACATTTGCGATTCGCCAACGTAATTCTTGCGGAATTTTGACTTCTGCTGAGCCCTGTCAGATCTTGAGGTATTCGTCCGCATATTTTCAAAAATTCCTTTCATAGACGTTGTTTTTATTCGCTTGAAGTGCGGGTCCTTTGAAATATAACGAATATCTGTATTTCGCTACAGACAAGTGAAAGTGTCGGGGTGGCTGGACCTTTCAACCGAAAAGACGAATTGCCGGAATTGGTTGCTATTTGAATTGGTCTGAAATCTGAATTTATTCCTGATTCGATGTTTGATTGAAACAATTTAAATGTTATTGACTTAAGTAAAATAATTAAGATTCCACGAATTGAGAAATGCTTAGAACTGAACTGATATATTACTGATTAAATCTACCCACATATATCTCTGCACATTTTCGCAAGGACAAGGACATGCGCAGTCGCATTTTACCAGATCGGAGGGCAGTGCGTATGTACTTACAACATGGAAATGCAAAGCTGGTGTAGACTGTATATCGTCAAGGCTGTGTATCTATAGACCTTTTTATAATGATGTCGTCTTTTTCATAATGCGGAACTGAGTATGATGTTACACGAAGTACGATCGATCAGACTTCCGCGTTTGACGTCATTATAAGAAAGGCCTATTGTATCGTCTCCATTGACGCCCACGGGACTTATTCTCTTAGGACCTCTTCTCCTGGGGCGTACTCGTCGGGTCCTTTTTTATGAAGGGTGCATGGGTGGGCTTTGAAAGGAGGGATATTGATTGAGACAGGAGGCTGCAAAAATATGATAATTTTTGTAATACCTATATGGCGTAGGTACTAAAAGGTATTAAAATCCACTTTATGCAACAATTGTATCAATTCTCAGCCAAATCGGTTTAACAGTTGCAGAGAATTCGGTACACGTAGACTGATAACGATTCCAAAATTCATGCAGTTTTTTTCTTGACCGGCGAAATCACGAGAACAAAAGGAATAAAAGAGATGTATAAGAACAATCTCGTGGCTATAGTTTTTCCGTATGGGGAACGCTCTCGTTCATCAACCCTAATTGCACTTTCATCGACTCTAATCCACTTCGAGCATTAGCAGGTTGAGCAGAAAACA